TATGCTTCTTCAGGTGGTTTGCAACAGGTTTTGTGAATGACATCTGGGGGTCAAGGCGTGCATGAGGTCCAAACCTGGATGAGCATTTAGTGACTGAAATGACTGCTTCAGCCATTGAGCTTAGGCTGCTCCTGGAAATAGCCAACATTTGCATGTCTGTCCTCATATTTCCTGTCAGCTTGCCCTGAATAGACAAGGTTGGATGAACTTTTTCTCCTTTCCCTGTAGCTTAAGAATGGTCCAGTAAGTCTGTAAGCTCAGCATTGCCAAAAATCAACCACATATCTGGGGAATGTTACATCAAGGCAGAATATGAATATTATAATCATTGCACTGGAAATCATCAACACTCTCCAAGTGATGCTTCAAGGAAATTTATAATATTTCCTATTTTCTCTAAATGGGCCTGTCAAATATCTGGCTGAATCCTGAGGCTGGTAAATGATGTTTTATCTGCAGGAAAGGATGTGAAATAAGCAGAAGAAGCGGCAGGGAGCAGAAAAAGTGGGATTTGAATACATGGTCATCTGATCAATAACACCTCCTTTGCTCATGTGGCTATGCTACTACTTGGCCTGATTGTGTTGGAAGTCTGAGAGTGAAATGATGCAAATAATGTGACACACACTGGAGCTGTGAAGGGATGTGCTGTTGCATTCTCAATTGGGATATTTCACAGACAGATGGGGAAGATTGCTGTGTCCTCAGAAAGGACTTGTATGTGACTCTTGAAGTCTTTGCTATCTCTGACTCTCATTTGATGGTGGGATGTTTTGTCTGACTTGCCTCAGTTTAAGGCAGATGCTCTAACACCTGGGACACTGCTCCAGGACCTAGGAGAGGAGAGAGAACCATTCTTGGGAGATCTACAAAGATTCTTTGTTCTTGGACAGCCTCCAATCTCTCTTTGCTCACCTGTTCAATAATGATACATCTCTCCCTCGGGAAAATGCAAGCTCTGCATGGTTTTTCAATATTGTGACTGGCAACACTGAAAGCCCTACACAGCAAAACTGGGGTCTCTCCTACCCAGTATGAGGTATCTACCATGAGCTGGTTACCATGAATTACTTCCACAAGCAAGGAAGAAAACTGGCATTCCTAAAACATGGACTGCCTAATTTGGTTATAAAATCCCTGACTCCTGCTAAGGGAATGCAGATAACTGTGTCAGATGTAGATATTCACCATGCAGGGGTCTAAATTTGTGTCCACAGGCACAACCAGCACCAACTGGCAGCAGTACCAAGGGGCAATGGAGGAGTACAGATTCCCTTGGCAACAGAATTTGCCAGTGATTTCTAACCACCAGCTTCACCTGGCATAAGGGAACTACACACATGCAGACTTCACCAGATACTGAAAACTACATTTCTTCTTCACAGCAGAAATCTATCTTTGGTGTCCTAAGAAGTGCTGGAATTTGGCAGGAGATCATCTCTTGTGGGACTTTCACTAACCGTTTGCTTTGAATGTGAGACATGACTTGTATAGAGGACATGGAAAAGTCACATGCATTTTCGGGAGCCTTGTACTTCAGGAACATCTCTGTAAGGGGTTATTAATTGGCTCCATCCCACATCCCAGGGAAGCCACACAGTAGATATTCCCTGTTGGCAGAGCTCTGCAAGTTACTCGCAAAGACAAAAAGATGTTCTTGCCTCTCTTCCCTTTGCAATACCAGCTCTCTAAGAGCAGTCGCAGGTTCTGTCTGGTTCTATGCCAGTAGACAGTAGACATGCATGCAGTTAGATTGTCACTACTGAAAGATGAGTGTCCTTGTTGCAAGCTGCATTGAGTTTGCATCAGGAAAATATGGGAGTTTCATGTTTTACTTTGTGGGAGAGGAGATTGACACACAAGTGTCAATCTTCTTGACAACAAATTTGCAAAAATAAAGGTGTAGACTATGTTACTACCTCAAAGTACAGGTATGGTTTCTTAAGAAATGTGTGCTATAGCTTGTGCAGTCCTGGGCCACACAGAGGTCTGTAGCCTTGCACAAGGCAGGCCACAGTGTATGACAGGCTGTCTCTGCATGCTGGAAATACTGAGTAGTGTTTCAGGGAGTCTCTCTCTGGCGCATGCTTCGTTGGGTTAGAAACTGGCTGGATAGCCGGGCCCAAAGAGTCGTGGTAAATGGAGTCAAGTCCAGTTGGAGGCCAGTCACTAGTGGCATCCCCCAGGGCTCGGTGCTGGGGCCGGTCCTCTTTAATATCTTCATCAATGATCTGGACGAGGGCATTGAGTGCACCCTCAGTAAGTTTGCAGATGACACCAAGCTATGCGCATGTGTCGATCTGCTCGAGGGTAGGAAAGCTCTGCAGGAGGATCTGGATAGGCTCTGGATAGGATCTGGACTGAGGTCAACTGCATGAAGTTCAGCAAGGCCAAGTGCCGGGTCCTGCACCTGGGGCGCAATAACCCCAAGCAGAGCTACAGGCTGGGAGATGAGTGGTTGGAGAGCTGCCAGGCAGAGAAGGACCTGGGAGTGATGGTGGACAGTCGGCTGAATATGAGCCAGCAGCGTGCTCAGGTGGCCAAGAAGGCCAACGGCATCCTGGCTTGTATCAGAAACACTGTGACCAGCAGGGCTAGGGAGGTGATCGTCCCCCTGTACTCACTCAGCTCTGGTGAGGCCGCACCTCGAGTACTGTGTTCAGTTTTGGGCCCCTCGCTACAAGAAGGACATCGAGGTGCTTGAGCAGGTCCAAAGAAGGGCGACGAAGCTGGTGAGGGGCCTGGAGAACAAGTCCTACGAGGAGCAGCTGAGGGAGCTGGGCTTGTTCAGCCTGGAGAAGAGGAGGCTCAGGGGCAACCTTATCGCTCTTTACAGATACCTTAAAAGAGGCTGTAGTGAGGTGGGGGTTGGCCTGTTCTCCCACATGACTGGTGACAGGACAAGGGGGAATGGGCTTAAGTTGCGCCAGGGGAGTTTTAGGTTAGATGTTAGGAAGAACTTCTTTACTGAAAGGGTTGTTAGGCACTGGAACAGGCTGCCCAGGGAGGTGGTGGAGTCACCATCCCTGGAAGTCTTTAAAAGACGTTTAGATGTAGAGCTCAGGGATATGGTTTAGTGGGGACTGTTAGCGTTAAGTCAGAGGCTGGACTCGATGATCTTGAGGTCTCTTCCAACCTAGAAATTCTGTGATTCTGTGATTCTTCTTAGAGACTTGGATCAGATGCCTAATCAATGCTCTGTGTGCTGGGGCAGGGTGGTGGGGCAGGAGTGAACCTCCCAGTCTTAGAGGTATCAGGAGAGGTCCTTAGGCTGTGAAAGAAGGGTACAAGCCTTGGCCCTAACATAGTAGAGCTAGTGACACAGATCAAAACTCCTGGTAGCAAGGCTCAGTCCAAGGGTAGTCAACATCAATTTGCCATCCAAGAACCCTAGAGAAGTGGCTTGTTGTAATGCTGGAAAAAGTGCAGTATCTATAGACTTCAAAACTTCCCGGAAGCCATAATCAGCTGCTGGCTTAAGGGTCCCATCGTGTTACTGTGGATGGCAGGTGTAGTACAATGTTGGTTACAATTGCTTTTCTCCCTGCTGTCAGCTACTTTCTTTGTGCTTTTAGCACATACTAAAAACTTCTGTTACGCTCCTGGGTTAAAAAAGGCAGAGATGGCATCTACCACTTCTAAGAACCTTGTGAGTTTCTTATTTAGACAGAAGTTTAACAGCTTCTGGAGTATTTATGGGAGCTGTTCTGGCTTCCACACCAAATCTGAGGCACTCAGTTACAAGTGCACACACCAAAGTACAGAACTGTGTGCAAATTTAGGTCAGAAGGAACCTGTGGAAATCCTTACTCCAACCTTCCATTCAACATAAGGCCAACTTCAAAAACAGATCAGGTTGCTCAGGACCATCTCCAGGCAAGCTCTGAACATCTCAAGGATGTCCTACAGCCTCTCTGGGATGCTGTTCTAGGCCTGCACCAATCTCATGGGGTTTCTGTTTTTTTGTTTGTTTGTTGTTTTCCTAATAACCAAACAGAATTCCTGTTTCTGCAGTCTATGATCATTTACCCCTTCTTCTATTACTGTGCACCCCTAGGGGAGTCCAGCCCTAACTTCTCTATAACTATAACCCCAATGTAGGCGTGCAGCTCTCCCAGCACAGTCACCTGTCATCATGATGTTTGATTTCTCTCAGCTATCCCTTAGCTATTTTGAATGTTCTTCATTTTATTGTTCCTTGTCCTTATGCCTGAAAAAAAAAAATCTAAAAACCAATGAAATACCTATACACACATCACGAATCTTAGAGTACACAAGGATACCGAAATGTAGCCAAAATACATTTCATAATGTCAAAATTATTATCTTCTGTGTGGTTCCTCTCTAGCCAGCACTGCTGTGCAGGATTCAGTTTGCTTTCGTGTTTGCTGTCAGCTATGTCTGGGAAGCAGGCACTAGTAGCAGTGAAGCATAGGAGATGGCACCTTGGGAGTCTACCTAATAAACCGTAAAGCGCAAAATACCTTTATGGACAAAGTATTTATCAAAGGAGCTCGATTCCTTTCAAAACCTTCTGAAGCCACCTTACTTGCTTGACTCAGAACAGGTCCTTCCCCTCTCAGAATGGGACAGCCCATCACTACCTCCACCTGCAAGGGGTAGTGGACTTTCTCTCCACCAGCACCCTCTGCCTACCCACAGACTCTCTCCGAATAACCCTTTGAGCTGAAGCCATGGTCACCCTGAGGCTGCTATTGCAGACATCAGGCAGACCTCAGTCTGCCCCAGGCACTAGCATGCTGCTTGCACCAGAACCAGTCCGACCCACCATATATCTGGGTGCAAAGTCAGGTCTGGGCTGGTGCAGACTGTGCAGCTCCTCCCTGGAGGAAATCATTGGTTGCACCAAGTCTGTCCCAGCAGCAGCAGGGATCAGTGTCAGGTGTCTGTGACACAAAGACCACAGGCACATCTCCCTTGATAGATGCATTAGTACATCAGAAAAATACTGCATCTTTTCCTGATTCTCTCTCTCACAGTTTTGCAGCTACGGCTTCAGCAGAGAAGGACTCGTGAGCAGCTGGCAGACCAAGGCATCATGCCACGTGAGTATTGTTTTCTGCCTTTTTCACCCTCTCCTGGATCAGAGGGGCACTACTGGGACATTGCATGGCACCAGCTGCCTGCTCAGGCTCTCTCTGCTCTGAGCAGATTGCTACTGAGCTGGACTTTGCTTCCTGCCCTGTAGTAATATTATGGTTCCTGGTGCTGTACAATGGTGCCCAGCATTTTCTACACAAGCTGCAATGCTGCTGTTCAAACTGAAGTTGGGAGAGCTGCTTAGTTTGCATTTTTCAAAAATAAAGCTGCATAGGGTCCTGTCTCAGAGGTCACTGCAGCAGAACAAAGCTCTTTGTGTAGGCAAGGGCAGAGCATCTCACATCCTCCTGTAAAAGTCAGGAACCTCTGTGGCAGCATCAGACCCACAGAACAGTGAAAAGGTAGAGGGGGGCCCATTCCAGCTCCTTGTAACCATTCAACATCAGAAAAACAGATGCTAGAGTCCAAAACATAAGTGAATGAAAACAATCCCCTTCTGCACAAGCAGATGCATCATGAAACCTGTAGCACCACTAGCGAAAAAATGCTGCCTGATGGATAATTCCACCCTGACCTATCTCAGGTTCTGTGTGCATGAATTTGTGATTATCTGGAACTCAGGTAAAGGACTATCCTGGTACCATTCTGGCTCATTATGGGCCCCTTGGGGGTCTCTGATAAGATCATAAATTTCCAAAGGCTGTTCCACTGTGTCTCTTCTGGCTAACCTTGAAGACTGTGATGTAGCTTTTGTGAATCCAGCAAAACAACAGCGCTAACACTGCCTTTCTCATGAAGCTGCCTTCCTAAAGGATGTTAGGGGAGCCAGCAAGAGATGCCTCTCAGTACAGTATTGCCAGAATCAAGTATTAAGAAAACTTGAGCAGGATGATAAAAATCATGTCTGTGAAGGTTTTAAGTTTGATAAATTCAGATTCTTCTTTTTCTTTCTTTCTTTCTTTCTTTCTTTCTTTCTTTCTTTCTTTCTTTCTTTCTTTCTTTCTACTGTGTATTTCTTTATGTTTTCAGATTTTATACTGCCTGCCATCAAACGGCAAGCATTTTAATGACAGGACTCTTGGAGCTGGAGCTTTAAGCCAAGTTTGGTGACATTTATGATAGCATTGCAAGCACTGATAATACAGTCAGTGGTCAGAAGGATGTCTGAAGTCTCCTGAATCACCAATTTCACTTTGTAAAAGTGGTCACACAGACAATGTGCAGGATACCTCATTACACATGTATGGCGTTGTTGTGTCAACAGAGGAGTTTGCATACCTGATATTGCCCTGCAGGGCTGAGCACATGGGTCTGTTACCTACAGCTTCTTTACACTCCTAACTTCTAGGCTTACATTTTGCAGTCTGGTTTCTGTCCAAGGATGCCATTTTGGGAAGTATGATCATAGTTCAATCACTAAAAGTAATAAAAGAAAAGGCACTTCTGCCGTTATTAAAGAAAACATGCAGAACCTAACTGCTGAATTTAACCTCAGGAGGAAGTGTCAGATGCTAGCATTTAATAAGCAGAAGTCCCAGCCAGCTTCCCCATGGTTTGGACATATGCAGTTAATCCTTAGGAAACACAATTCTTTGTTTAACCTTGTCTTCCTATGGCTCTGAGGACCAGCTGAGATGGGCTATAGGAGGTACACCAGGATGGGATCTCAGATCATAGGGACTGCAGGTGGGCAAGAAATTGAAACAGATATCTGTAAGCCACCATGGTTGAAAATAGCTTTTCTGGAAAGAGAAAAATGGGGCATTGCTGGTCTACAAGTTGAAAGTCAGGTTTGGTACCAAGCTGGGAGCATTCACGTGATTCCACATTCTGCATCAGCTTTTGTACAAGGATTGTTTTCAACCCTTTGGTTATATTTTTTGCATATATAATCAGAGGACAGAGAAACTTTGTTTTTCTAAGTGACCCATTTTATACAGAAACCAGAAAGAGACATGAGTGAGCAAAGATTTGTGTTGGATAAAAGCTTTGAGGGCTTGCAGAAGCCCATGTAGGAATGGGAGTTGATGACTATACACAGAATTTGCTGAGCTGTTCAGCAGTGTGGCTGTAAGCACAGCAAGAGTAAAATCTAGGAGCAGCTCTGAGGAAGCTGACTGCTTTTTGGAACCCAAGAGACTAGTTCAGGGAGAAGTATCAGTGGTACATGAGCATAGCCCAGTGAGATGAATGTGCTTATCTAACCAAAGACTGCCTTAACTCAATTCAGACTCTCTTGGATGTTCACCTAAGAAACGTGAAACCTTCACATAATTCCATCACTGGAGAAGGCAGGAAACTGCCTAAAGGAGGATGCTCAGGAGCAAAAGACAGTAGTGTTGCAGAAGCCTTCTGGTTCAAAGCTAGACTCTGTCAGATGTTTTCAGATTGCAAATTGAACAACTGTCTGGCAAAACAATCAAAAATATTGAAAAAAAGCTCTGCAAATAAAGGTGGACTCAGATTAGTAAGCAAGGGCAACCTCTGGGTCCCTTCTGCCCAGTGACTTTGTGTATGGGGGAGCATCTGAAAGCAAGGGGACATCCAGGTTTGTTGAGGCATGGCCGCACTCCTGATCCACGGCAGTGCAGGTGAGAGCAGATGCTACCCTGTTATTCAGGCTCCCTGAGTGGGAAGCTCCTACAAGACTGTTCATGCGAGACTCTATTATTGAACACGTTCAATTATATTGTCTTAGTGAAGTTGGTACAGACCTGGAAAAGCTTTTTAAATCAAGAGCATCCCCATAGGATCACCTGCAGAAAGGCAGGCTGCAAGGACAAGCGGGGATGAACTCTTCTTGTAGCCCTACACAGGGTCTTGCCCTGGAGCCCAGCCAGATCTGCTTAGCTACCCAGAAGGAGGGGGAGGCAGCTTGTAGCAAGGATTCCTCAAGGCATTTTTTCCCTTACAATGATGGGATGTAGAAATAGTTGTGTTTGAAGTTAGGCCTCCCTTGCTGTATGCATCCACCACCTCATCCTCTAACTCAAGCCTTAGAGGCAATAGTCCTAAGGTTATCAACACAAGCTCAGCAGCTCTGCCCTATTGACTCCAGACCTTTAGCCATTTCAAGATGCCATGTCATCCCCTGACAAGGTGTTTGAATAATCAGAGCTAGCAATGTCTTTATTTGTTTTGCAGACTAATACAAGCTGCAGTATCCACATAATTCCTCCAAAAATCTTGGTAAATTACTAAATTCTGCAACGTTTTCCTTGTGAATAGCATGGTGTTTGATCAATGCCCATAGCAAACTCCCAATGTCAGGACTTCAGAGTGAACAGGGCTGTAAAAGTCATCTCTCTTGCTGACTTCATTTTCTCTTGTGCACCATTTTATTTTGCTTCTGGTTAAACTAGCTGTCACAAGTCCTCATGTCTTCTCACCGGAGCATGGCACAGTAACACTGGCTTGTCTGTATGTCTGCTTTCCAAACATTAGAAGCAGTAATGTGCCCTCTGTGTTTTTCTGTGATTCCCTGGAGGTTAGGGGTGTTGCCTACCAAAACCCAGTTCAGGGCTCCAATCATTTCCCAGCTGCCCTCATTCTTCCTGTCATTCTTCTCTAAATTGATGTGGGACATCATGTCCTCTGTGAAAATAATTTCTATCCCCATTAGATCCCACTCAGAAGATGGACAGGGAATTAGATGTTGCCAAAGGTTGTAGCAGGCTGTTTTTGTGGTTCAGGACAACTTCTCCTTCTCTGTCCCAATGGGAACAGTTGATTTTGCTTGCTTACACAGACAGAAAAGAAATTTTGCAGGAACTGAGACATATTAACCCCTTCATCACACAAATTTCTCTCCAGTTTATACACAACCTGAGTAAACAAGGAAATATGCAAGGTCCTCCATGACTCCAGCATAGATGGGACTGGTGTTCACTGGTCCAAGACCTAGGGACCACTGGCCTTCCTTTGGGACCCTCTCTGGGTTAATCCTCTTTGGTGTCAGGAGATGCTAAGAACTTGGCCTGCTGCTGGGTACCTGTCTGGGTAGCTGCCCAGGGAAGCACCATGTCACACAGGGGCTTCTGGGCAGAGGATAGGACAAATGTCTGGTGAGAAGGAGCCTAAAGGAGATGGAAGGGTACTTAGTGATAGAAGAGGGAAAAAGGACAACACCTCCAGTGTCCTGGTTGAAGTACCCTTGCTGAAGGCCAAATACCCCAAGAGGCCAGGCAGGCCTTTCCAGTTTTCCTGCTGGCCTCAAGCCTCAGTCACATACAGGTCTAACTTTCAGGCAAGGTCCCCTCCACCCGTTGCTCTTCCTAGATCAGTTTTCTGGGGCTGTGATGCCTCACAGTGCCACAACCTGGAAGAAGAGCTCCAGGGAAGAGCAGCACTGGCTGTCTGACATGTCCCACCGAGCACCACATTTCAAAGCCTGCACCATCTTCCTGCCCAAATCCCTCCTGTCCTCCCTGTGCTCTCCGTCCCCCCTGCTCTCTTGCAATGGCCTGGCTGAGAGCACGGGATTTCCCAGAGCTTTCCTGAGTTATTTTTAGTTAGTGCAATAAAGAGGGCAGTTAGTTTGTGTTGCTATTTTTATAGCACTCATTAAAATGCTGTTGCTGAATATTCTGGTGGCTGCTTGCTTCCACTCCTGTGCTGACTGCTCCTCTCTCTTTCCTGTTGCAGCACTGAAAAGCCCATCTGCATTCCATGAACAACGAAAAAGTCTGGAGCGAGCCAAGGTAATCCCTACAAGCCATGCTGATGAGGGAACTTGTGGGCTCGCTTTGCATGAGCTGCGGGGTTTGAAAGCACCTTCCACTACTCTGCCCTCACCTGGCACCCTCTGCCCAGGCCCTGTGGCCAAGGATCAGCGTCAAGGCCTCTCCCTTGCCCCCAGACATGGCAGTGCCAAGCCAAGGTTCTTGTGTTCGAGGGCACCCTTTTCCAAGCAGTAGAGGTTTAAAAGGGCAGAGGAGCCAACTGTCCCCTAAGACAGTTTGTTTTTTTTTAAACAGCCCCTGAGTTTTACAAAACCTTGTGGGCAGGGTTCAGCCTCCCAGTAGACCTTAAACTAACTGAAGCCTCTACTTTCCACTGCAGTCCATATTGACATCCCGCTCCTCACTGTGTTGGCTGCTCTCTGCTCCTGCACAAGGCAGCTTAGAGCAGGGCCAGCAGCAAACAGGACAGATGGGAGGCTAAGTATTTAGCAAGTGTGCAGGAGAAATGTGGATGCCCTTGGTCACCTGGAGTAAGTCCCCAGGGGACTCACCCTTGCATCAGAGGAGAGTCTGGCTTTTAGCTCAGCAGCGCTGCTTGACGATTGCAACAGTATCCCAGCAGCTAAGTGGCCCAGGCTCCCACTGGTCCCATCACCCATCTGCTCTTAGACTTCCCAAAATATTGCTGAAGGCAGGTATAAGTAGTCACTTCCAGAACACAACACAATGATACTCTGTAGTGTGATCACTTTTTGGGAAATTGCACTGGTTTTCCAAGCCCTTTGTAGCACCCAGCACCCAGCCCCGACCAAGCTGGAGGGAATTCAACACATGGCCTGGCAAAGAGAACAGTCAGTTGTACAGGTTTTGCCTGAACACAAGAGTTTCTTCCATTAATCTGCAAAATGTGCTTGCAGTCACATGGAAAGGGACCTTTGCAAGAAAGAATAACTATGAAATATGAAAAAGTGCTCTTCTGAACTTAAACACACTCCAAATCACTTGCCCTGAGACTCCAGCAGTAATAAATGGCTAGCATAAGAAACACAATTTGACTCTGAAAAATTATCATGCTTAGAAAATTTCAAGCAATCCAAAGTATCCATGGAGTGTCATATATTTTACAGTTTAAGTATACACTTGTGTCGCTTTGTCTTTCTCTTCAAAGGCTTTTACTGGCTGGTTGCCTGGGGAAAAGGGAAGCATAGTCTAGTCTATCCCATTTTTAGAGCATGCTAATGAACACACTAACGAGCACAGTCTATAACAAAAATATATTCCTTTGCAAGGATGCCCTGCTTATAGTCCTGACAGGTAACGTCTGTTTCCAGATATTTACTCAATGGCATTTGTTGTTTAGCTGATATTCCTCCAAACTGATGGTCTGCAAACAGAACGCAGATAACAATAACCACTTTAATGTGTTTTGGAAGCTCTTCTGCTACAGCTAATAAAAAAATAATAATAATCTGAGGTCTTACACCACTGTTTGCACCGCAGTGACACAAATGTAGCAAAGGTCAAATGGAACTGAAGTCACAGCAGAAATTCAGGCTAGTGCAGTGTGAATGCTGGAGTCAACATCACAGCGCCACATCCGTAGGACAGTAACTCAAATTTAGCTCAGGTAAGGGCCTGATCTGAGGGTTAGTTAGAAATTCATTAGGTGAATTTAACTGCACTTAAGTGCAGGCACCAGCTAGCGCTGACCTGGCACAGACTGCGCTGGTGAAAATAAGCTGCAGAAAAAATATGGGAGAAGGGTAAGAAATTGCAAATACTTTGGTAAATTAAATATCTATGATTTGCTTAAACATATCACTGGCTATGTAGAAGGCTGGCATCAGGTCAGTGCAGCAGACTTTGAAATCAATGTCCTGTAATAGATTGCTGGGTTGGAGGACAAAGAGCATGCTGGTGGTTCCTTAAGCCATCAGGCTCAGCAGGGCTCCAGCACTTACACGAAGCAACCCAGCACACGTGGCAGGGAAGGACTGCAGGGGACAGCAATCATGCCTCTGCCCCGGTGCAGAACAGACCCCTCTAGGTTATTCCAGAAATATGTGTGACGACCAGTGGCCATCCTATCCACGCCCCCGAAGCAACACACTCCAGTGCTCTCTAACCTGTGCTGTTAGCAAGTCTTACACAATTACCAGCCCAAGCTTTTCTGTTGCAGATTAAGACCATTACTTATCCTTCTGCATGGACATGCAGAACCATTTATCTTTGTAATGCAGTACTTTAAAAAAGTATTTTGCATCCTGTTTCCCTAGAGCAATGTCATCTGCATACTGAGCAATCTCCCTTCACTTCAGCCTCTTCTCATTGGTCTAGTTTCTGGCTCAGTGATTTCTGTTGCTGCCTTCCAGATCCTTCCCACAGGTCCCTTCAGAAGCAGGACCCAGAAGGAGGCCTCGTTACTCCTTGTGCCCATCTGACATTCTTCATGGTATTTCCTAGAAAGCTGCCTGCTGGTCTGGGGATGTGGTTCAGCTGCTGATCACTAGGTTCTCTGGAGTCTTTCATATATTTTCCAATATTTATGCAGTTACTAATTTCTGTCTAAGACCACTGTCCAGTGACCAGTACAGAAACATCTATGGTGGATTAAGTCCTCATCCCCTCCAGTGCTTAATCAGCTAGTTTAGCTGTGGCTAACTGTGACCTGAATAGACTCCTTTCCAATTGTCCTTCTTGAACTGTATCCAGTGTATTTCAGATAATTTCTTCAATTGCTCCAAAAAAATTTGTATTCTAATCTATTAGTCTTGAATGATTCAGAGTTAAGAAGTATGTCTTCTGTCATCTAAGGCATTAATGAATATATTGAATAGCAGAAAAAATTGCTGCAGAACATGATTTGATATATTCTTCTGTTTAGACTGTGAACCATTCCTAATTCCTTTGGTGACCCACAGTTTTGCTCCTTTTTTATGTTAGTCTTATCCAGACCAAATTTCTCTAGCTTGCATATGAAGAAACCGTGTGAGATAATGTCAAAACATGCTTAGAGTCAAGCTACATGACATTTTTTGTTTATTCCTGTAACAGAAATCTGTCATCTATCCATAAAAGGAAATTAGGTTGGTGTGATGTGGTTTGTTCTTCATGAATCCATCCTGGCTGTTACTCACCTCCCTGCTGTCTTCAAAATCCATTTATACAGGTTGTTTGATTACTTGTTCCAATATCTCTCTGACGGGAATTATAATTTCCAGGTTTCTTCTCTCCATCTCTTTTAAAACTAGAAAATACATGTATACTCTCCCTGGCCCAGTCTCCTAGAGAACCAGAGACAGCTGCTATTACTCTAGCCTTGTATATCTCAAACTGTTTGGGAACATTTAACTATCTGAGTACTCTCCAACCTGTTCTCCAAACTGATAACTGCAGTTTCTATTGTCTTGTTGCTGAAGGATCTTGGCTTAGTCACGTGATTGATAGTCACATATCTTTTTAGTGACGATGTTTTAAAAAGGCATTAAATTCTGTAGCCATCTCAGCAGCATCCACAATTATTTACAGAACACAGGCAGCATATTCCATTGCCTTCTCCTGGCTACAGAAATGCTTATAAAACCTTTTTCTCATGAACCTGTACAATTGTGCTATGGGTTTCCCAGTTTTCTCTAGCTGCTTGTGCTATTTTCTATTTATCCTGAAGGGTTTCACCTCTTTGAACTATGTACATCTTTATACTATCTATTCTAGCATCTCAACTTCACAAACAGGTAATAATTTATCTAGGTTGTTCCCTAGCTCTTCTTATCTAGGCGATGAGCTAGTATTTGTATCCTTGAGGTCAGCTGCCACCAATACTGACTTCCTTGGCCCTGGAGAAATAGGCTATTGCACCTCTGTGGGTCTTTTTGTTCTTAAAACCATGGAGAAGCTGGTACAAGTTCATCACAAGCTCCACTACAGTGATCTGCAGTGTGGATTTTCCCAACCCACACCATAGCTGGGGTGAAGAACTTCAGAGCACAGGAGCTGCAGGACCACAGTAAAGCTAAGTCTTTTGGCTGACCTGGGAGGAGTGTCCGGGTATCTTCATGATTTGCTCAGCCTTATATCTCACCAAAGGATGCCAGGCTTCCCAAAGAAGCGATTGCTAACACTACACTGTGGAGTTGCCTTTGTGTAGGTCTCAAAGGTGAAATGGTATGCTGAGCCAGGAGCAAATCTACCACTCCCAGCAAACAGGTTTCATCCTTTCCACGAGCTCTCATAATACTTCTGGCATCAGAAGCCCAAGGGAAACTGGAAAGAACACAGGTTAGCTGTGGGGATAGTAAACAGTCAGCAGCTCCATGCATGTTGTTCCCTTTATGAAGAATTTCTGCCCAAGAATCAGCCGGTGTCCAGGTGGAAAAAAAATGTCATTTAGGAGCTCACTGAACCTAAACTGTACCAAATAAAAAATAATAATAATAAAAAAATAATAATAATAATAATAATAATAAAAAAAAAACTTGGGATAGCATGGGGGCCTCTGCTCTCTGTACCTTATTGCTGCTCTAGTCAGATAATACTCTCTGCATTTGTGTTCTGCAGACTGAAGATTATCTCAAGCACAAGATCAGAAACAGGCCTGAGAGATCAGACCTGGTCAACATGCACATTTTACAAGGTAAGCCTGCCTGAGATTCTCCCACTTACTCCTTGTTTCTCCTGCCTGTGACTCATGTCTCTCCTGCCCCACTTGAGTTCCTTTCAGGACCCTCATCACAATTAACTTTGCCCCAGCTGCTCATGAGGGCCACAGTCAAAGGGACATTGTATGGAATGGGACGTTGTATGGTATTTGGTTCAGACCTGACCTTCAGGAGGCAGGAGACACACTTTTCCCGACAGGAGCAGGAACAAGGCCATCTAATCTTTGTCCCACCTCTGGCAGGTACCAGTATGAGATGGTCTAGAAGACAGTGGGATATAGAACAGCTGTGAAAGAATACTTTGTTACACAGAGGTGTAGAGGTCTGATCCTCACAAAGTGCATACCATGGGCATTTGTGGTGAAATCCTCGTAGCAGGTAGTTGTAATAACCTCCTAAAGGTGGACTTTTTTTTTTTTTTTTTGCCATAATTCTCATTATGTGTCTATTGATGTTGATAGAATCAATGACCCAAGCATAGCCATACAAAAAAAGGTTGAGCTCTGGTACCAGTCAGTGAGACCCAGCAGCTCTCCCCCCTCTCCCAGCCTGGTGTCCCCTCCCAGCCAGGGAGCTGGCAGTGCTCTGCTGCATCCCATCACAGACAGCAGGACTCTGCGGTGTCCCTCGTTATCTTCAGAGATAACAAGCTCCTTAGAGACAAGGAGGACGTGCAGTCCTTCCTTGAGTCCTGTTAGTCCCTTGGAAGAAGCAGATTACTCTCTGGGAACTGTAAATGCTGGCCTCTGCTCTCGGTATGGATGCAGTTCATATTTCTTTTTCCTCTGGCATGCAAGAGGTTTAAGCCCAGAGTCTGTGACAGATCAGTGCCACTCTCTTAATTTACCCTTTTCTTTCCATCTGAAAATGAGCCAGCATCACTGGCCATTTAACAGGTGGAAATTGTCTTTCCCTTAGGTTAAATAATTGAAGCAAATATGAACTGGAATTGGGGCCAGGAGCTGTAAAACAGATGTGGAAATGGCTGCAGTCACCAGGCGTTGACAGGGCCAGCGAGATAGAGCTGGAGGAGAGGTGGTACAGAGATGGCCGGGCTGTGCATTAAGCACACTGTCTGTGCTGCCCCACAAACACTTGGCCTAGGCCTCTGCTCCCACAAAGAGGTGTGCCCTGGATTTTCACGGACTTACAGGCCCATTTGGTTCATAACATGACATAGACGTGATTGAAATCGGGCAGCTGAGACACTTGCTGTCATCTAAATGTCTTCCAGACACACCTACTACTGTTCATCTCAAGATGCTCATGTGGTTCCTTTTCATACGTAATCTGAGTCCTTAGATGAACTCTCATGACCTCGTTCAGAGTTTTCTTTATTGTCTAGTATGAAGCTTGTATTGCCTACAGAATCTCTTCCAGAAGACTGTCCAGTCTTTGAAGGCAGCACAGCTTAGATGCAGCCCTTCTTACTTTAAACCCCAGAGTGTATAGGTATAGTCTAGTGTAGGGTCCTGCTCCCTGACTACCAGAGTGCTCTGGTGCTACCAGAGGTGTCAGAGAATCTTTATTTGGGAAATCACCACTGTCTTTTGTAATTGGCCACTCTTCTTTCACCACTCAGTAAGTTAGAGCTTCTCAGTTTGTTTTGGTCTGGTAGTAGCTTCCAGATCTAGCTGCCTTTGTTATGCTCCTCTCCACCAGCTTGTTTTTCCCCTGAAGGCCTGAACACTGCCCTCATGCTGCCTCCAAACATTCCACTCTTGAAGAATTTGCTTTTTATTTTCCAGTGTAAGGCTTTCGGTCCAGTTGTCAAACTCTGTTAATGGTTCTTTCCTCCAGCTGTTTCTTCAGAAGTAGGGATCCACCTGCTTTAGGCCACAAGGGCCAATGGGCTCCTGGCAGGCAGGAGTCAGAGTCCACTTTTGCTCTCATGTTAGTCACAGCTTAATGAAATTTCCATTGCAGATCATTTCTGGGCCTTGGGAAGGATGGTCTGGCTGCAGACTGGGTTTGCAAGCCCAGGTTAGGAAACGGAAGTTTTTACCTGGGAATGGGGAAGCTTGACCTCAGGCTCAGAGGAAGACGCATGTCCCTAAATCCCATCTTGCTTCCCAGTCTCAGTACAGTTCCTGCTGGACACTGAGCCATGTCTTGGCCACAGTCCAGAAAGCTGTGCTGAGGGGGAAGTATGTTCTCACTGAGCAATGTGCTTACGGATGCCCCAGGTCCTGAACTGATGCCTTCCATTTGGCCTTTTAGACTCAGCTGCAGAAGGGTCCATTCAGTCTACTCAAATGAAGCTGAAAAGAGCCAGACTGGCAGATGATCTCAATGAAAAGATTGCTCTCAGGCCGGGTCCTTTGGAGTTGGTGGAGAAGAATATTATTCCTGTCGACTCAGCTGTGAAAGAGGCCATAAAAGGTAGTGAAGTGAGCATGTATTTTGTGTCGTGTGCATGGCATGGGGCAGGGGCTGTCAAGGTTACACAGATGTCAAGCAGCAACTGCAGAAAGTGATTGACCTAGAGGTAGGAGCAGTGGCTGTATATTATTTAAAATTCCTTATTTTTCACCGTACTATTGCAGTCCAGCACAGACTGTGCTACCTCACCTAGGTCTATAAAAAGAGATCTCTCATCTTCTTAGTGCTGCGCTAAGACCATGGGAAAACGAATCATTTCTCAGCCATGTCTTCTCAGAGAGAACACCTCGTCTCTTACTCTTCCTTCCCTGCCCAAGGCTTTGAGCATGTAAATGGTATTGCAGGAGAAAGGTCATTCCTTCCTCCCTCACGTGGGAGAAGGCTTGGGTGCACACATGTGGGCATTAGGCTGGTCTGGATGCTCCCACTTGTGACCTGCCAAGCTTTGACAACCCAACAAGCAGGAGTGAAATAGCCCCATTTCAGAGAGGCTGACATTCTTTTTTTTTTCCACTGATGCCAGTGGCACACAAGGTCCAACAGAGTAGAGGGGAAGTGAAAGCATCACTGGGGTGCTAGACTGCTGGGGAATACACGGAGCAGCCTGCATCCCAAAGCAGGCTATGCTCCTCCCAGCCATTTTCCACGCTGTTTATGCATAAGCTCAGTGTTCCTCTATTATCCACCTCCCAGCTGGAGGAGGGATGCAGAATCCCCTGCAGTTATTTCCCCCATACTGCTGCAGGGAGGCCAGTGCGGGAGCTGACACTAAGGAAAATGGTGACTCAGAGCTCACCAGTACCAAGAAGGCAGAGAAAGGAGCAGGAAACCTGCAGCATCCTGCTAGCCCAGCAGCCCACATTTTTGAAGTCTGGGCTTATCCCTCCACATCCAAACTGGACCTCAGGTCTCAAGTGGGGCACTGAGAGCTGTTTTGCCTCCAGGAACTCCTTGTTCTCTTGCTCTTGGTTCCTAAATTAATGAGATTATTTCCATTGGCGTAGTCCCATGTTAAGTATCTATTCTGGATTCAGAACAAGCTGGGGACAGTAGCAGGGCTCTGGGATATGAGGGGTCTGAACTACAGGAGCAATGCAAAAAATGGGAACTGAAACAGGAAGCGCTTTGACTTTGGTTTCATCTCAGAAACCAGCAGAAACATGAAATACTGCAGGCTCAGAAACTCCTTTTCCTGTACTGCAATTGTTCCTGCTCTTCATTTTCCCTCTGCAAAGTGCACATAGAGTGTGGTCAGTGGTTCCTTCAGTACGGTTCTTGAGCCACCCTGGTTTCAGCATTTCACAGATCTTGCCTTTGAAGGCAAAATGTTCCAGGACTCTGAAGAGGAATTTTTAGGGAGAGCTTTTAAGGAGAGTTCAAGCAAAATCTCTTCAGTCACTTATCAAAGGAGAGGAGTGGGAAAAAAAAAAAAAAAAAAAGAAAAAAAAAAAGAGAGAGAGAGAAACCATTAAAAAAATCCCCTTTTTATAAACAATCAAGGCAGTTTGAATATGACTTCATCCACTGGAGCCAAGGCTTGGAGGCTGGGAAAAGCACATGTCAAATTTGAACAATGTTTGTCTCCAGCTGCCATGTCAGGAGCTTGTGGTAAATAGAGATTTACAGGACAAAACTGTTAAAAACAAAAGTCTGGATTAAAATGATTTAGTCAATTTTAAAATCTCTCCCTTTTGCCATAGCCTTCCATCAATCATCTGCTGGGGAAAAACTTTCCCTGTAAGCCAGTTTTATCCCATTTCAGGTGAAACACACAGCATGTTAGGGTCCAGCAGGAAGTTAGTCCAGCAAGAAGCTATTTGGGTGCCATGAGAAGGAGGTGCTGCAGCTGCACCAGCGACACAAACTCAGTCCTCAGGCTTCTGTAGAAGAAAGCCTCAAGCTGAAGGATCCTCAAACTGATTTTTGAAGTCAGAGGCACTTTGTGGTGCTCACAGCTTGGGGCAGAAAGTTGAAAAAAGAGCAGAGGCGAGCACTGAGACTTCTGAACATTAAGCCTTTTGTTTTTGCAATACCAGAAAGATGACAGGATTTAAAATCATTTTACTTTAACCTTGGAATCTCAACTGTTTATATAGTGGAAAGTTCAGCTGACATGTTCCTCTAATCACCTCCGACAGGGCAAGTGGAAAGTGCCAGACCCCAACCGAAAGCCCTAACATCCCAGTGACAGGAGGCCGCCAGTGCCCTACATAGCTGAGCAGTGATATAAGAACCTTTTTTTACCAGGTCCTTGTCATCACTTTGTCCAATACATTTGAGAGGACAATACCCAGTGCATTAAAAACAGCCCCAAGCAAACACCATTCTGCCTGAGATTACAGCAGAGACATGGGATCATGAAACTACATGGTCAGCCCTGGGCTGGGTGAGAGATACAGATAAGGACAGCGCTCCCCGCTCCGCACAGGCCACCAGTATCAGGCAGCAGGATGCAGCACATTCCTGTCATGCCCTGGGCTGCTGCTGTGTCCTGAAGGTCCCCTGGGCTCTGTGCTTTGGCACATTTTCTCCTCACATGCCTGTCAAATGCCAGCCCAGCGGAAGTCTTGGAGATCTACAAGTCCCTCTGCTTGAGTGATTATTCCCAGAAGAGGATGTCCACACTTGTCTGCAGACACCCCAATGCAAGGGATCATACAGCCTTGTGTTTCCTCGGGGAAGGTACAACCTCTGATGGCAGCTGTAGAGGAGAGGGGACAGGCCCTATTTCCAGACACACATGAGGAACCCCAGGATGTGGGGAACAGGGAGGAGAGAGGCTCTCCACAAGACACTGTTGCTCTCATATTCCTATGCCTGCCTGCCCCAGAGCTGCCATGGCAAGTGTACTGTTGAGCTGTTTGCATTTCTCTGCCAAGCAGACAGAGCAGCTTCCTCGGAACACCAGGGTCACAGAGGAGGCTGCTGCTGTTGACACTTGCAGAACTGTGGATAGGGACAGGCACAGTGCACAGGACGCAGAGCCGTGTTGTCAGGATACCAGTAACTGTTGACTGTCTGGGACCTCTTCCCAACACAACCCCATGGCAGGCGGGCCCTCCTTCTGCAGGGGTCTAGCTGCTGGTGGCTCAGGGACCCACCCTGGGGCGGGCAGCCAGGGCTCCCTGCACTCTCACCCACCCTGGCACCACAAGCTGGAGCAAGCCGAGATAAGCCTTTATCTCTGAGATAGGGGCAGGAGGGTGCGTGTCAGTGAGAAGGTGCACATTGCTACAGAAGCCGCACAGACAGGTGGAGGCTTGTCCCCGGGCCCTTCCTATTTCCCTATTTGTCACCTCGCTATCAGCATGCCAAGCTGCCTGACAAATGCCAGACGTGAGCACGAGGAGATTATGAGCATGACCACGCTGCTCCTTCCTCTGCCCCCACCTGCAGTTGTCCCAAAGCTCACATGAGAGCTCTTCTTTTTTCAGCACTTCATTTATCAGTAAAAGCCTGGGGTCAAAAGCTCTTGCCCATCTGACTATGAGGAGGAGCTCTGCAGGGAGCTTGCAGAGAATCAATATCTGGGGCAGGCCTTGTGGCAGTCAGGACGTAACAGCAGCTAACTGAAGCGTTTCATGTGGCTGATGTTTGTGGACAGCCACAGGACCTGGAAGCTGCTGTCCAGCTGCAGCCAGGTGCAATCACGTTGGCTCTTCTGCCATGACAGCGTCACCCTCCACATCAGTTTCAACCTCAGCTCTTCTGCTGAGGATCACTAAGTGCGATCGAGATGCTTGGCAGACTGGGGAGAGAGACTAATGCCCCTCTCCTCGTTTCAGTCCAAAGGCAGGTCGGGACAGCTGAGCTGCTCTGAGCCAGCGCAGTGTACTTGTGCTCTCTCAGAGCCTCCTGCCTCTGACAAAGTCATTTGGCTCTAGGGAACTGGCCTGCAGGATTCTTTTCCAGTCAAACCAGTGATGCTGTCCTCAGTCAATGGTTTGCCATGGGATGTGGCATTTGAACACCTTGAGCACCAAGTCCTCAGCCTGTAGCAAGACGTGAAAAAGGGGACACGTAGGAAACTGACCTGGTCCCGCACATGACCAGGGACTGCAGGGCACACTGCGGTTTCCGAGCGATCTGAGCACTCCCCGCGCTGCCTTGTGCTCACCCCATCCCTCCAGCCGGGGACAGCCCAACCGCTGGCTGCGACCGGCGCCCACTCCAGCCGGGGCTGCGGAGCTCGCGGCCAGGAGCCGGGAACAGGCGGGCGCCGCTGCCCTGGAGGGGGCCGACGGGCGGGACGGGAGGGCACGCCACTGACCGCCTGCTTCCCCGCACCCGGCAGGTACGCAGGTGAACTTCCCCAAGCCATCCGACGCGTTCGCCTTTGAGGAGGACAGCAGCAATGACGGCCTGTCCCCGGAGCAGGTCAGGAGCGAGGACTCCCAGGGCTCCACGGAGTCGTCGGCGGGCACCAAAGCCTCGGAGCCGGCCCCGCCGGCGCCCTCGGGGACGCCCCAGGTGGGTGGCGCGGCCCGGCCCGGCAGAGGGGGACTGGGGCTAGCTGGGGCACTGAGGTAGGCAGGGATAGACTGGGGAGACAGGAAGGTTATAGGGGACTGGGATAGCCTGTGGGAACTGGGGAGAGAGGGCTGGGGTAGGCATGATAAGACTGGAGTGGATGAGGTGACTGGAGAAGACTTTGGGCAGGGGAAGAGGGTGGCAGGTGTCCGATTCAGGAAAAGAGACACGTCCGCTGAATATGGGTGCTCCAGACACACTGCTGTGAGCCCAGGGACACCAGGCTGTACTTTCCCCAGGGACTGCATCAGGTTTCCAAGCTCTCCATCTCCTTTCTCTGTGCCAAGAGACCTCTGCAGCCTGGTCGGGGCCCTCTGAGACTGCCTTTGAGAGGGCAGTGTATCAGCACTGTGGTGCAGAGCTGCTGCAGCTCAGCCCCTGGCTGACGGAGTTGGGTGCAGCCCCTCGCCCTGTAGGAACTGAGCACCAGTGTGGAGGGAAGGTTGTCTGTGGGGACAGGCTGTCCAGGGGGCCTGCATCTGCCCCACATCCTCTCACACTGCACCTCTTCCTTTCAGGATCACCCCCACAGCACTGAGGGCAATGCAGCAGAGCTGGCCTCAGGGCAGAGCAGCCAGTGCGACAGCCCCAAGCAAGCACCAGGACAGGACAGCCCACCCCTCCCAGTGCCCTCTGTGGTGAAGGTAATGTCTTCATGCCCAGGCTCCCTAGGAGAGGGAACAAGCACAGGGCAGGTGGCAGCAGCTAAGCCCAAAATACCCAGGTGCTGCACCCCATGTGTCTGGCAAGTTTAGGGGTTTGGCCTTGAAGGCCTGGAATAATGAAGGGAGATGGATCCCATTGTCAACTACTGCATGTTGACGTCATTTTTTAACTGTAAAAGGTAGAGCTTTGGTCCCTGCTCAAGGTGATTGAACAGTTCCTTTATTGGAAATATCCCCTGGAGCTTTAAACAGGAGATACAGAGCAATAGAGAAATACCTTCAAGGCAAGGAAGGTCATTCTCCTTCTCATGTGCTCTTTCGCACATCTGGGATGAAATGTTGCCCTTGGGGAGTCACACACGTTAAGCTGCTCATGGAGCTGGGCTGTAAGGCTGCCAGCAGGATGTGCCCTTGCTCTGCCAGGTCTCCAAATTCCCACAGGAGTGACAGGATCTCTCCACTAATTCTTTTCCATCTTGTACCAACAGTCAAAATCTTCCAGTGATAGCAAGAACCGTCACAAAAAGCCCAAGGACACCAAACCCAAGGTGAAGAAGCTGAAATATCATCAGTACATCCCTCCAGACCAGAAGGCAGAAAAGTCCCCTCCTCCCATGGATTCTGCATATGCCAGACTCCTCCAGCAGCAGCAGCTCTTTCTGCAGCTCCAGATCCTCAGTCAGCAGCAACAGCAGCAACAGCAGCAGCAGCAGCAGCAGCAACAGCAACACTTCAGCTACCCAGGGATGCACCAAGGCCAGATAAAGTGAGTGACAATGTGCCAGTATCAGGGCTTAGTCCTGTCTCCCTCCAAGCTTTCAGTCTTCCCTGCGCATCTGTGCCAGTGCAAAGGGGATAAATGCATGCAAAGGAATCATAAAAACTTCAAAGTATAGCAGTGTCCTGAAAAGCTGTTCTGGCTTTGTGCACTGGTTGGGGAACCTGTGACGTGCTGGTAGGTCACCAGCAATCTCCTTGCAGCCCAAACCAGTTTTCCTGGGGGTTGGTGGTCCTTCAAGTCTCGTACAGGAGATAGGAGCCTCAAGGGAGCAGAGAGATGGTATGTCATGTAGCACTGGGCACAGAGACCCTGGAGGACAGACATGTTATCCCAAATCTCCTTTGTTATTTCAGGCAATCAAATGAGCAAATGGTCAAAAGTTCAAATTCTTCATCAACTTCTGTCAACAACACCCCTCTTTCTCCTGTGAAAACCACCTTTTCAGGCCAGACTTGTGTCTCATCTATCAAGCCAGGCCCTCTGCCATCTAACCTGGATGACCTGAAAGTGAGTTAAAACTTTGTCACCACAGGAGCAGACTCTCATAGCCTGAATGTGCTTTGCTACCCCTTATGTGTGCAGTGTAGTGCAGCAGGCTGTGCTACAGGGACCAACTGTATTACAGACCAGCAAACCAGAACCACCACACTATGTGCAAACCCAGGCATACAGCATGATGAATCAGGAATCGATTGGTATTGTGGTAACTAAAAACGTGGACTTTCTGCTCTGTGGGTATCACATGGGTGCATTGCTCCAGTGCACGTATCAGCAAACCCTGCATCTTGAGTTGGCTGCAGGCCAGGGTATCAGGTCAAAGTCTAGAGAACAATCTGTGCTGCTGCTCCTGTAGCTCGTGACCCCATAACTTCAGTAGTTTTATGATGGATATCTTGGATACTGCTAGCAGACTAGACGGAATGTGTCAGCATTGCCTTGACACCAACTCAGTGACTCAGCTTCTCAGTGGTCATTGCAAGCCCATGCTGCAGTTCCTCTGCCAGCAGCATCCAGGCCAGCTTAGCTGTCTGGAGAAGCAGGTATCCCCTAGAGTCCGCGGCTATGAGCACTGATTTGAGTAGTATCTAAATCTCTAACATAGGAAAGAGAGGCAGGGAACAAGGGAGAATCATTCAAATCACTGATTCTTTTATAATTTGTTAACAGAGCCTCAGCCATAGGGAAGGCCAATATTTTTTTAGAAGCAGGGACCTAGGGGAAATGAATTTCTCCATCGTTGTTAGATGGAGAAATAAGATGAGGTAGAAATAACATGTGCCTGGTCATAGCAGTAGCTTTGCTCAGATGCCTGAACCTGGTGCAGATGCCTGAACACAGAGTAGCTGGCTTCAGAGATCTGTGGTCATGTTATCTGAGCTAAAGGATAGTTCCTGGGCTGTGTGGAAAGAGTAGCACCTACTCTGCTCAGGTAGATGCTACTGCTAGGAGAGGAATCATGGCTTATTTCCATGGCTCAGGGACCACTGCTGGTTCACGGAGAGCAGTCACAGTTTCTGGAGGAAAAAAGGTTTTCCTATTAGGAAAGATCAGGGTCCTGTGGTAGTCGGGGCTGTGCATGCTGACTGATCACCTCGGGAGCCAAAGCTTTAAAGCAGGAGGCATGGAATCTATGATATGCGGCTTGCTGTGAGAAATGTCAGGTTTCTAAAGCACTCAGCTGGAAGGGGAAGCAAAAGGAATGATTATTGGTCACTTTTCTTCTAGGTGTCAGAACTGAGACAGCAGCTCCGAATAAGAGGCCTTCCTGTATCTGGTACCAAAACAGCACTGATGGAACGGCTGCGGCCCTTCCAGGAGTGCAGCAGCAATGCAGTGCCAAACTTCAGTGAGATCACAACTGTAACCTTTCCAGTCACTCCAACAAGCACCTTGTCAAATTACCAGTCGCAGTCCTCCACCAGCATGTTATCAAATGGCTTCTACCACTTTGGCAGCACCAGCTCCACCCCACCCATCTCTCCAGCCTCCTCCGACCTCTCTGTGAGTGGCTCTTTGCCAGACACATTCAATGATGGGCCCATGTCTTCTCCACAGTTTGGTCTTCAGCCATCTCCAGTCCATGGTAGTGCTGAAGAAAGCCTCATGAGTAGCATGAATGGAGGGAGCATTCAGCTGGAGCTGGAAGGGATTGACACAGAGAAAGACAAAATGCTGGTGGAGAAACAGAAAGTCATCAATGAATTGACATGGAAGCTGCAACAAGAGCAGAGGCATGTGGAAGAGCTACGGATGCAGCTCCAGAAGCGAAAGAGAAGCAATGGCCTTGAGGAAAAACAACAGCCCACTCAGCATTTCTTTGGTGTCCCCATCAAGCAAGAAAATGCAGTGTCCAGCTGCCCATTTGCATCCAAACAAACTGCCTTAAAAGGCCAAGCCAGCAGCTCAGATAAGTTAAGTAACTGTGGTGTGCCACAGCTGTCTCACATTGTAAATAGCCACTGCTTGGAGCCTGCAGGGCAAAGCACCATCACCTCTTCAACATTCCTGAGCCCTCAGTGTTCCCCCCAGCACTCTCCTCTCGGGGCTGCAAAGAGCCCGCAGCACATCAGCCTGCCACCGTCCCCTAATAGCCACTATCTCCTCTCGGTGTCCCCTGGCTCACAGGCAGAAGGGTGCAGCGGGTCCCCACAGACCAACAGTTGCCTTCGCACAGCATCGGTAAGTGGAGAGCACCCCAGCTGTCATCTTGGTGGTGAACACACTCATATCTGTGGCCATTCACACAAACATCTCTGACTGCTTTTCTATCAGGCTGGGACAGCTGACATCCAGGATGGGCACCTAGGGGGTTGGAGGAGCATGTGGGGCTGCCTGTAAGGCAGGGTAGCTGAGATGGAGAATGGGTTGGAAGCTAATGGCACTGCGGGGTCCTTTGCAGGGTGTTTCCTGAAGAACCGTGCTGCCACCACATCCAATTGCCCTGGGGGAGCACAACCCAGCTCCTCTGTTCTGTGGAGCCCTGGCACAGCTCCTTATGCCCTGGGGGAGCCCTGGCACAGATCGCTCTTCCCCAGAGGACCTCAGCACAGCTCCCTGTGCCCCTGGGTGAGCACTGGCAAAGTTCCCTGTGTCCTGGGAGAGTCCTGGCACAGCTTCCTCTGCTGTGGAGGGACCTGGCACAACTCTCTGCCCTGGGGAAGCATTGGCACAGCTTCTTCTGTCCTAAAGGAGCCCTAACACATCTCCATGTCCCCTCAAGGGGAGGCTCTGGCACAGCTTGCTGCGCCCCTGGGGGAGTCCTGGCACAGCTTCCTCAGCCCCATGATGTTCTGGCACAGTTCTCTCCACCCTAGGGAAGCCCTGGCACAGCTTCCTCTGCCCCATGGAGCCCTGGCACACCTCTGTCTGCCCCATGGAGCCCTGGCACAGCTCCCTCTGCCCCTAGGAGCCCTGGCACAGCTCTATCCTCAGTGGGGAAGCACCAGCATAGCTCCCTCTGCCCCTGGGAGGTCTCTGCCACATTTTTCTATGCCCATGGGGAAGCCCTGCAATACTAGTCAGCATCTTGCTAAGCCCCTGCAGCAGTGTAAGGCACTTTAACCACTAGGTTGAAGGAAGACAGTTACCCCAGTCATATGGAAAGCCTTTTCTTGGGGAGATGATAAAGCAGGGCTTGCCACTGGGACCTACAGTCAGGACAGAGCTTGTGTCACCTCCTCAGGCCACCAGCACTGCAGAGCTGTCCCTTCAGTGTCTCCACTCCTCATTCAGCCCTCAGTGTGGTATGAAAGCTTGGAGAGGGAGGGGCACATGCTGCCAACACACAAAATAGCATAAAGGGCTGCTTATCACAGTCCCATTTCATCCTAACACCCTACCAGGGTTTCCCTAGTAACTAGTAACACCCATCATATTTATTGTCTGTAAAGCATGCACAGTGGCTCCAGGTGCACAGTGCACCCACGAAGTGTTTGGGCAGATGCACAGCAGGTGTGCACTGAGTGTGCAACAGGCTCACGCAAAGCAACCACCACTGCACGCAGCGCTCACGCAGGACAGCTCAGGAGCCACAGCCCCACAGCCAGCACATTGAGCAGTGTGCAGTGTCAGGGGGGTGCAGTGTCAGGATGCAGCCTTGTCACTAAGCTGTTCAGAGGACAGCGATATAGGTGACATGGGCAGTCAGGCACGGTGCTGTCTGGTGGGCAGAGGGGAGCAGCACTGTTGGGGTGAGACAGGAGGAGAAACAGAGTGCTGCAGTGGGATAGGCAGCGGGGTGCAGTGCTGTGGGGTTGAAGTAGGCAACACGGGGAATGCTGCTGGGGTGATAGAGGCAATGGGGTGCATTGCTTTGGGTGATCTGGGCACAGAGCAGTGAATGCCGTGGGTAGGGTGCAGTGGCAACCTCAGCAGTGGGGCACAGAGCTGTGGTGCAACAAGCAGTGGGACAGAGCACCATGGTGCATTGCACAGTGAAGTGCAGTGCCGTGGGGCTATGCTCCAAGAGAGGCAGTGGGATTGCTCAGAACAACCAGAGAGCAGTCATAGGGCACCTCAAGGGTTCCTCCAGCTCTTTCCCCATTGTCAGAGCACAAGGAGCACATTTAGGGGTTGGCCTTGCAGTGTCCTGCAGGTCATCGTGGTTGTGAAACCAATGTCCTGGACTTCCCTGTGGGCCTCGAGACAAGGGGAACAGCAGTCACTGGACCTTTAGGTGATGTCCTTCCTGGAAGAGGGTGACCCTCTTGCTGGCAAAAAGCTGGCACCAGTGTGCAGGTGTTTGGTATGGGCACAGAGAAGGCCTGTGGGCAGTGACTCTTTTGGGCAGTCTCCATGAGCTGTCCCAGAACAGGTAGTGACAGAGAAGGTTCCCCAAAGGAAGGAGCTGAGATGCAGCTGGTAGCTGGGGGAGCATTGTGCTCCTGGGCATAGCCACCTCTCCCTCTTGCTCTTCACATTCACAGATAACCCACAGATAAAGTCACAGCTCTGCAAGACCATTGCCTGTGGCCAGATCTCAGTCAGTGACCAGGGTTCAACCTGGCCCTGGGTCCTGCCGGTGTCCTCAGAGCTAACCCAAAGAGCTGTTTTACCTCCCTCTTTCCTGCCCAGAGGCCAGGCACTTTGAGCTGATTTGACCTGCAATATCATTAGTTTTCCTGGTTTCATTCTGGCAAAAGAGGGCCTCCCTCTGTGCCGAGGAGAGTAACCTTTTCCCTGTGCATTAATTCCGTTTCCCTGTATTTCCCCCACGCAGATGGCTATGCAGGCAGGTCAAAAGTTTTCTATTCCATCCCCAAGTTTTTGTAATCCAAGCCCAATCCCCTCAGAGGTAAAGCAGCCTCCACCCTATGAGGATGCAGTAAAGCAGGTAACTGCATGATTTTTACTTTCTATAGGGCTAGGGCTGTGCAGTGTTCTGTGCTTAATGTAACTGTCAGCTGCAGGAGCTACAACCCATTAAGGGATCTCTGGGTAGGACAAGCCTTTTTACATAAGGAATGGGGTTTCTTTGAAGAGCCAGTTACTAAATGACTGCCATAAAGCAGTCAGACACCATGCTAGAAGGGATAGCATCTTCTGTACTGATGAAAGGTGCCTGGGGTCCAGATATCCCGTACAAATGCCCCAGGACTTTGCTGTCTTCTTCTTCAGGGTGCTCAGGCAAACAGACATCCCAAATGGCCATTCGTTGGGACACCTCACCTAGCCCATTAGCAAAGTGCCCTGCTGATTGCCATCTGCTTAACCTTATCCCGGAGCCCATATGCCCTTAGCCTTATCCTGGAGTGGTGCTCCCGTGGGGAGGAGCTCCTATCTCCCATGAACTCCTTACTTCTTGTGACAGTCTGTCAGCAGCCTCTGTGCTGGTCACGGTGCCTTTAGGAACATCGACTGATACCATCGGCAGTGCTAAAAATTGGCTTATCCTGGCTGGCAGGGAGGTGTGCAGAAAGTCCTTCCAGTGTGGGGTCAGGGAGAGGAGGATGCTGTTATGTTATCCCCAGTGAGGCTGCTGGGACTGCAAGCAGGCACGTGCCGGTGCTAGATGCCAGGTCCGGGTCTGGATGTCCTGGTTGCTCTGGGCAGAGGCAGTCTGCAGTGTCCACTGAGCACAGACAGGCTTGGAGGCAGAGCAGGGGAAACCTGGCTCAGTGCTCTCCAGATCTGCTGCACTTGTCCCAGGTGCCTGCGGTGCTCATCTGAACACTGCTGCCAGCCCCATGCGCCTCTCATGGGGTCTAGAGCCACCTACCTGGCGCATGGCTGGAGGGACTCTCCTCCTAATGCCCTCTACTCTCCTCTTTGCCGTTTGCTGCAGCAGATGACTCGAAGTCAGCAGATGGACGAACTCCTGGACGTGCTGATTGAGAGCGGAGGTACGCACTGCTTCTCTGTTCCCTCCAGGGCTTCCCCTCCATCAGGCATACGTCCGTGGGGCCCAGAACTCTCAGTGTGCCCCAGTGGAGCTGCCTGAGTTGCGTGCAGCTTTCATTTGCCTCCCTATGGCAGGAGCCACTGAGACTGACTCCAAAACCACACCAGACCTGTGCTGGTGAGGAAGCCTGCCAGAGCCTACTTCTGCACATGCCCCAAATCATTGTGGGAGTCTGGGCTCAGCGTGTCACCTATGCAGCCTGCTCAGGAAGGACTGCAGGGTGACAGCACTGCCAGCGCCCTCCCCACACAGAGCCCCTGCTGCCCTCCACCACTCCCAGTGCTGCCAGTGCCATCTCCCACGTAGAGCACTGTGGTGCTCTCCCCTGTGCAGATAGCTGCCAGTGGCCTTTCTCGTGCATTACCCAATCCATGCCCACCCCCATGGGGACAGCTGCCAGTGCTCAAGTCCTGGAGATGGGGTCCAAAACCAGGGGAGCTGAGATCAGAAAGTGGGAACATGGGGGGCTTCCCACAGGGAGGGTGGGTGAGCAACGCCAAAGGGATTGATTTGGGAGTGGGTTTGTGCAAGCATGCCCAGCCCAGGAGCCCAGCTCAGGGGCCTTGGCTGTGCCTCTGGGCCAGCAGTGATGGGCACTGCCAGAGCACTTCAACCCGCTCTTGTTTGCTGAACAGAAATGCCAGCCAATGCCAAGGAAGACCGGTCCTGCCTGCAGAAAGTACCTCACATAACAGTGTCTACAGGGAACTCCAGCACTTCTCTCCCAAAATCATCTGCCGCATTCGAACAGGTCTCCTCCACCCAGCTCCCATTCGAGCACTGTCCAGGTGGTGGTGACACTCACCTCGAGGTCCTGCTGAATGCTCACAGCCCACTGGGGAGAGTCAGTGAAATTGCCCTACTGAAGATGGGAGGAGAAGAGTCCCACTTCGAAGGGATGATAGAGGGGTTCTCCAGCAAAGCTGCAGATGAACTGCTCACCTCCCAGGAGATTTTACAGACTCCCCTCTCACCAATGGAAACACAGCTCTCCCCTTCCCCTGCTGATGGCTCTGGTTTACAAATGAGCTTCACTGAATCTCCATGGGAAACGATGGAGTGGCTGGACCTCACCCCCCCCAGCTCTGCCACCGGCTTTGGCTCTCTCACCTCTGCTGGCCCCAGCATCTTCAACATTGATTTCCTAGATGTTACTGATCTCAATCTAAACACCAGCATGGACCTTCACCTACAGCAGTGGTGAACAGGAGGATGGCGGAGGCAGGATACTATAAGCCTGCAGCAGCCAGCAGTGTTTCCGTCATGCCAGAGAACACATAGACCTAACATGCCAGAATCAGGGGAAACTGGAGCCATTTTCCCAGTGAATAAACTTGTTTGAATTTCCTGTTACTGCAAAGTGACAGCTCAACAGCTCTGGTACTTTGATTTTTCTCCATTGACACATCCCCACAAAGGATACCTTTATCAACACTCCTTTAGGTTGACAGTTGGCTAGAATTTTGATTTTGTTCCTCTTACCTTTTTCTCCCCAGTTTTAGCAGTCACTCCCATGAGAACTGGAGAAGCTCATGACAAAATTGTGTGGTGAGGACACCTCATCCAGGAAGCAACAGGGAATCATCCAGAGGTTGCTGCCCCCTTCCCTCCTGCCTGTACAGCTATTTAGGCCATCATGCATGGCTCAACTTAGCCATGCCAGGTCAGGAGGATTGGGAGCAGGGAGGTCCAAGGGCTCTGCCCAGCCAGGGCAACAAACACACTACTCTGTACAGCCTTACATCCTTCCTTCTGTCCCCAAAGCCATGTTCCTCCCAGTCCCTGCACAGCTGTGCTCTAGGTGAGTGAGAGATGGAGCCGATGTTCATGGTGGTACTTTGGGATGTTCTCAGGCTGCCTGTGGGGCTGAAAGTCAAAGAGCTGTCCTGGCTGCAGTCAGAACTGAATCAGGCTGAAGCCTGTGACCTTGAAGCAGAGAGGTCTGGATGCTGGAGGCAGCTGCTGAGGCCGCAGGTGCAGGTATTGAACAGCTGTGGCATTATGGTGCAGCTGGCGTGTCCCAGCTCGTGTGGTACAGATGAAGTCTTATTATGTTCTGATCCAAGGTAGGAGCAAGTCATATGGAAAATACAGCAAAGCTTTGCAGGGGCTGTCCTCTGCACAGCCAAAAATCAGGATGGGTCTCCACTGCCCTGCATGACCCAGAAGCAGGGGCAGCCAGGAGCAGCCATTCAGCCACCTGGTGTGGGACAAGGCTGAGCAGGCTCTTGTGTGCCTGTGGTTTTGTGTGAGCACCTGCTTTGCTGTCTCCACTCCTCTGTCATCCAGAAGGCTTCCTTTTTCCCATACTTCCTCGATCCCCAGCAGTGATTCTCCTTTCCCAAGTTTACTCCAGCATCACTGTTCACCCAGCTCAGAGCAAAGCCATCTGGAGAACAGCTGTGAATCACTGAGCCTAGAGGAGCTTGTTCTTCTGAAGCCAGCGAAGATGGATGCTCTCCTGCAGCGATGCCTCCCATTTAAAGTCACCAGTGTTTCTCCTGCAAGTCTCTGTGCAATATACTTCCTCGGGCTCTAATGAGAAGGAGCCTTTGCTTCACTTCTTGGCTTCCACCAAAGAACTTACTGCAGACTCTTTGACGGACACATCTACTTCTTTGCAATTCTGGTTTTGCCAAAGTAAATATTGTTGCTGACAAAGATTGTTAAACTATTTACGGACTGTGTGTATTTAATATTTGTGTTACTGGAAAGACATCACATTGGCGATGCAGCAGCTGGAGAGGAGGCCCAGCGTGAGGGGCACCATGGGCAGCCTGGCCACAGCTCCTGCGGGGCACCCGCACCCAAGGCTGCCAGAGCTGCCGGAGAAGGCTTTGTGGCCACCGCTGTGTCTCAGCTTATGGCGTTGTTGCATGCTGTATAAAGAACATGGCAGTAGCTTTTAAGTCACTATTTAAAGCACCACTTTTCTATTGTACAAATGGTCACAATGCACTGCTAGGATAGGCGATCACAGGTTGCATTAAAAAAAAAAAAATCTAAGTGAGAGATTTTTAGAAGCCATTCCATGAAGAATAGTAATAGCACTTGAATCAGAGTAGTGTTAGCCGCTACACTGCGTCATTGTACAGGGCTTTCCAGACAACTTTCTCCTCTCAACAAATGTATTTCCTTAATTAAAGGGATGCTGTCAGCTTCAAAGTTGTAAGCAAGCACATTTCCTTACCTATGTTACCAGCAACACCTTCATTATTAAAAACCCCTTTGTCTTGCCACTACATCTGCTCACAGTCTGTTTGATTTTGCTGGGCTGGAGCAGTAACAGCCATCCCAGCTGTGTTCATTTCATTTCAGCTTCATTCCAGGGAGCAGCTACAATCTTTCCAGAAGTTTGATTTTAAAGAAACAGTTTCTCCTGGGAGATTTCTAACCAGTCTCCCATTTCCAAAGACTTCTCCTTCTGTTGGCTTTGGTTTTGCTTTGTTCTCCTGCAAACCTTGCTCCACTGGTCAGCATTCTGTTCAAAGGGAGCTGCTGGTACTCTGGGCTGCTGACCAAACACCTTCAAATTTTCCAGCAGCTGGGCTCCTGGCCAGGGCTGAACCTCCCATTGCCCACAGGGGAGCAGCAGGAGTGGGCTGGAGAGCTCAGCTGGATGCTGTGCTTTCATTTGATCCCACGAGGGCTGAGAGCCAGCAAAGTTTTGGAAGTGACAGGCCATGCCGATGGAGGAGAGGGACACGGGACTGGTATCCAGCTACAGACTGGAGCATCCTTTATTTTTTGTGGGCTTCCCCTCATCTGTCTGCTCTTTTACTGTCACCATAAGTTGTCTGCTTAAAGTCTTCTTGGTCTGATTATTGTCATTCCTATAAACTGACAGTTTACAGGAGACCAAGGAGACCAAGCCCAGATCAAAACTCTTCTGTGGGGCATGGGGAAGGATTAGAGGGTCACTTGAGGTCCTTCCAGGCCATATCCCTCCTAAAGACACCTGCAGCCGAGCTGCTTTGCTGTCCAGAGAAGTGCTCAGCTCAGCTCTGCACAGGCTAGTGGTTCTCCAGCCCCACCAGAGCTATCTCCTTGGGAAGGACAGACCGCGCTTGCAGGACAGAATCTGCTCTCCCCTCCCCTTGCCTTGGCAGGAGAAGCACAAGCAAAGCCCCCTCCACACCTGGCATCCCCCCGTGGAGTTCTGAGGACCCCTTGGGTCCTGCTTGGGAGCTGCTTCAATTACCTGTCCCCCCCCGGGCAGGTATGCCAGAGCCAGACCCCTCCAGTCCCTGCTGGTTCCCTCATTTCCAGATTCAGGTTTGTCCCCCAATGCTTTACAGCCCTGCTCCCATGCCACTGTGTCTGGCCTGTTGGATAGTTCGCATCCTTCCAGCTACACCCTGTGCCAGAGCAATGCCACTGTTCTCTGCCTTCTTTGCTCAGCACCCACTGCTGAGCTGCCCCCACAGCGTTAGTGCCTCCTTGGGTTTGTCTGCCTTGACGTGTGGGTGGCTTTCCCACACAGCCTGTCCCAAGGGGTTTTGTTTCCTGCAGAAGCCCAGCTGGAGGATCCCAGTGATGTTCAATTCTTGGGCCTTCCCAAAAAACAGGAGATAGCCAAAAAATGTTCCAAACATCAAATAACATGGTTTCTGCCTTTGGAAAGATTTTTTTATATGTGAGAGGACAGCTCAGTGCTGTGCTCTCCATGGGAGGCACGGAGACATCAGTGACACCGTTCCACCAAGTCCCAGGTCCAGATAGACCCCATTTTGGGGGTCTATCACAGGGAAGCACTGTTCTCATCCCCTCTGGGCTCAACAGAGCAATGCAGTGCCCTCAGGTGTGTGGTGTGGAGGTCGCAGCCCCTGCTGCATGGGGAGCCCCAAAGCCTCCGAGCTAGCCCCTGCCCTGCAGCAGGTACCTTCCAATACCACCACCCAGTGCCCTGCGACACCCCCACCGGCCCCTGCATGCACTCCAGGGCTGCCTCCGCAGCCCCAGCAGCCCCAGCCCAGTGCCCTGCGCGCATCCTCCAGCTGAAGACTCCTGGTGGTCCTCCCTGCCCCCACACCAGCAGAAGCATCAACCTTGTGCCTGCCCCATGGCACAGAGCCCTGCCACCCCTTGCACAGCACACAGCCACCCACCACCAGATCCCTCTGCTCCTCCCTGGCAGGTCCCCAGAGCCTCTGCCACCTCTCACCCAAATCACACAGGGAGGGACCAGGGCCACTCCTTACCCATGCACGGAGCCTCTGCACCCTCAGGCCACACAGACCTTGCTGTCACCCCCCACATCTGTGACAGCTAAAAGGAGGCTTCCAAGGAAGAGGGACTTCTGGCTGTGTAAGTTGCACTCAGGTTCTGAGTGGGCTTCAGCATAGTCTCCATCTTGTTTTAAAGCCAAGCATTTGTTCACAATAGCATACTGATAGTGTTATGGTAGTATGAAATTTTTTTTTTCAATACCACCAAAGGTATCTGCACTGCTGGGGTTACCCAGAGGAGGAGAAGTTGGCCTTCATAGAGATGCTTTTTTTTAATCACAGCACCTCCACACTCAATCTGCTTCCAATTTGTTGTATCCAATTTACCAACTAGGTTCTTTGTATGCCTACCATTTTGTTACACTCAAAATTTTGCTACAGACAAAATGAAATATACTTTTAACACAAAGCCATGAATTTACTGTTAGTTTCATTGATGTCTTAAGAGATTAATAAAAAAATATTTTTTAGTACTGTTACAATGACACTAATAGTTTTTTGCATACAATTAACATCTATGTTCAAAGACTTTCTTGTATTTATCCCCTTCCTCTAGGGCTCTGCTCACCTTCCTCTCACTCTCTGAACCTCTCTGCAGGTTAGAGTTGATGCCTTCAGCCCCAAGGATGAGGGTATGCGATGTCATGGCACATGTCAGCATCCTCAGTCCCTGCCAGGAGGAACAAGCTATCAATGCTGATATGTTTTTCCTCCTCACTTTACAATTGTCTGTAAGGAAAGGGGTGTGTGTGTCATTTTTATACCTTTCCTAATATGGTCTTCAGTTGCTCATTCTTCATATAGGTGGTCTATAATTCCACATTACATTTGAATTTAATGTACATTCTTTGTTCTACATATGTTCTTCATCTTTGTTTAAGGCTGGTGTTACCTTATCTCCCCCCCCACCCCCCCCCAAAAAAAAAAAAAAAGCATTCCTTTGATGACCAATGACTGGCCACTGGTGAGTTGTCTATAGACCTGGGTCTATGGCTTCATCCTGTGCCTGTTTCTTCAGGCCCCTAATGTCATCCCATGTCTATAGTCTTCTACACTGCATTTGACTATAGAGTCATAGATCTATCTTTCTACACAGAATAACTACTCATTATTAGTAGTTACAAAATATGTATGTAACAGTGTTACATCACACAATTGTAAGAAAGCTAAAACAAAGCAAGTAATGATCATGCTGTCATTAGATAGTTGCTGTTACAGCTAAACAAACTGAAGAAAAGCTCCAGGCAAGCTAAACTATTCCAGAAGCTCTAAAAACAAAAGTACAAGACCTCAGTAGATGCCACTGAGTGTCTCCCGAGTTGCTCATGTGGTAAGAAAATTCTCTGCAGGGACACTTGAAATTCTCCCACTCCCACTGTATGGGCCCATCCAAGTAATTCCCCTTTCTGGTGCCAAGTATAGCCAGCAACATGCAAAGTGGCTCCAGCAAGATTCACTAGAAATGTACTGCTGACAGTGATTCCATTAAAAAAAGTGAAGTCAGCCACACTGGCATTTTCACAGGAAACTGGAATTGGCTGGATTTCAATAAGGTTTCCACCAACCTCTTTAAATTGAGCTTAATTTCAAATGTCTTCAGTAAATCATTGTGATGTGGAGTCCCAGGATGTGGATCTGTTTCTGTCCTTCCTCATTTATTTTCCCCTTGTTTTTCCAGCATAAGCTCAGGTGCAAATGGAAAAAGAGAAAGAAGCACATGATCCTGCTGCGGGGGGCTAAGAGAACTAGACGTTGTCTGAGCTATGCAAAAGGTTGTGGTACAACAGCCCACCACGCACAGTTTTCTCTGTGTTTTGGTATTTTCTCTTAAAGCATCTTCAACTTGTTGAGGTGCACTTGTTGGCATGGAACAGCACTCCTGGTCTTCTGTCTACCTCTGAGATTTCAGTATGACTCCAGGGTCTGTGGGACTAAAAATGGTCGTGAACTGGGTGGCTCATGAACCAGTTCTGCAATTATCTGGCAGGCCTCATAAACACACAACAGTCTCTCAAGTCAAATCACTTGTAGTCAGTTCATTGTGGAACTGCTTGGTGTGCTGCACAGGACAGGATCTCAGTCCATCTTGAATCTGATGGGAAACTTATTTTCCCTGGGAGGCCAGGCAGGATCTCTTCCTCTTCTCAAAATAAGCTGATTGAACATAATCTGGATTGCTGCATTATTATCTAACTGCATCTCTATCCAAAAAGCTGCATTCCCATCTGGCCAAAGGTGAGACGTCCTCCATTGTTGGCCATGAAAGTTATTTTTCCTCCCAGAAGCAGAGGAAAAAAAAAAAAAAAAAAAAAAAAAAAAAAAAAAAAGATGGATCTGGATTTTTCTCACCCCTATTTTTTTCTTTTATTTCTGTCTGAGGTGGCTGACATGTCAATAATGGGAAAAAAATGGAAAAAAAATGGACAGATCACTGTCGACAATGAACCAGAGCAGGTGTCTGGTGTCTAACGAGGTGTTAGGGTCACACAGAACACCTCCAACAGCTTTCTAGTGTAGCATCTACTCTAATGTGAGCACTCAGCCTTTATGTACACCAAATCCTTTCACCCTTCCTGCTTTCAGATCCTGCATGTGCTTTTGGGAGAGTTGCCACAGCTCCACCTGCAAAGTAACGTCCCTGCACCTGGCACTCTGGTGCTGCATGCCAGCTGAGCAGAGGGTTGCAGCTTGAAGTAACAAGCGGTTGGAGAAACTGGTTTTCTCCTGGCAGTCGGACCTGGCCAGCCCTCCTGTCCGGGATACATATAAGGATAACGGCTTGTGTTCACATTCTGCCTGACAGACACGCCAAGCGGCCAGCTCTGTATTCTATTCCCAGCACAGCAGTGGTACGCTGTATCGCCAGGAGGGGGAGTTTGTGCTTCAGCCTGCTCTCGACACATTTGCACAGCGTTGAACACAACGTAAAAAATCAAGAGCTCACTTCTGTTCTTCAGAGCAGCCATTCATTCTTCCTCTGCATCCTTCACACGTTGAAAGCAATGACCACGCTTGTGATTTGCTTCGGGACTCAGACTGCAAATGGAGCTTTTATTCTAAGCAGTGCCTCCGGGAGGAAGCTGGGTCTCAGCACCCTGTTTACTTGTACCAGGCAATTCAAGGAGACAAGAGGTGGGGAGGAAGGGTAGGGGAAGCCAAAGCAGAAGATGTATGGAAATATAGATTACAAAACTCAAAATACTCCACATGGGAATAGGTGGTACTGCACATGTCCATGTGTACTGCTTATGTCCACACAGAGAGGAGTTGGGACTCATCTGAATTGCTTTTGGAGTACCACAGACACATAATAAATGTAAATGAAAAGATATAATTTCTGTGTGCTATATAATGCTTGGTGAAGATATCAGGAGCACCTCAGCCCTGCAGATAGGCACAAAGATATGAGGAAGTGGTATGAGGTGTCAGGGTGCACCACTGGGCACAGGGACAGTAGCCAGCAGCTCAAAGTCTCCCTGTCAATCAGCTGAAAGTGTTACTCTTCAGCTCGGCACCGCCTGCAGAGACTGGGGCACCCTCAGAGCCCATGCAGTGCTACAGAGGGAAAGCAAGAGCTGAGATGTGGACCTGGTCATGTTGGCCATGGGGGGATCCCTAGCTCCAGGGCTGGAAGAAGCCATCACAGCTCATTCAGACCAGGAATGCTGGGGTGGTCCAACGCTTGAAGGAGCAGCAACTGTGTCACGGCTCAGGCACGGGTCTTAGTACACGAAGGTTGTGGTGCAAAAGGAACACAATCCCAGGGCAACTCCCATTTGTGGAGCTATGAGGTGATGAGCTGCTCCAGTATCTGCCCAGCAGGAAAGGACTTTTACCCCAGTGTGTAGTGGATTTTATCTTCTGCCTGGAGATCACTAAATCAGCAGCAGTCTTGAATTCTGGCTGAAGAGTGAGGACAGCAAGTGGTCCAAAAATGTCCCAGGTATTGTGCTGTGAACAGGAAACTTCAAAAAACAAAACAAATCAATTAAACATCAAACAAACAAACAAACAAACAAAAAAAAAAAACCAACACTTTGATGTGATGGAACCACTGAATTTATTTAAGCTGACAGATTTCAACCACCTCAAACCTATCACATCATGTATCTCTATGTAGCAAGCCTTTCTTCAGCTCCATTGCCTGCCTTTCCTTCTCTTGACAAAATTCTCAGCCTCCAAGTGAAGGAACACTGTGAGAGCCAATGTCCTGCTGCTCCACCAGTTCGTAAGTACTTCTAGTCCTGAGTTGTGTTACGTGTGACCAACGATCCCTGCCAGTATGTTCGTGCTCTCCCTCTCACCAATCCCGCACTCCTGGTGTGGTCCCATCCAGCCACTTTGAGCATTGCAGGCACTTGTGGATGGTCCCTCTGCCCAGACACCAGTCTTCTTTCCTGGTGGAGCTGCTGGGGTCCAGTTCTTTTCACCTACCTGGATGGTTTCCAAGCCCTCCATGGCTTCCAGGCAGGAGACACTTATCCCAGCACCAGGATTCTTGGCAGTAGGAATTACTCAGGACTCAATACCCTCAAGTCATCTGAACATTGCAGACAGTGACAGCTCACATTAAAATAAAATAAGCCTACAAGGCTGTGAGCATCAGCTGCTCTATCCCCAGATTGTGGGCACAGTCACCTGCCCTCCTCACAGGGACAAGGTGTCTCAAGCCACCAGATCCTATCACTGCTCCCAGTGCAGCAAACAGGGCTCACACTCCAAGAGCACAGAGGAGCTGCTGAATTCTCAGAAGTCTTCCAAAGAAAGAAAATATATCCAGATCTCCAGATCGTCCTATGCTTTATATATATATATATATATATATATATATATTTTAGCACAAGCAGTTTCTAACCAAAGCCTGCTTTACTCCTGTACAGCCACTTCCACCCGGAGGGAGGGCCTGGAAGTTAAGTATTTCAACAGCTTTAAATACCTCTTCCCATTTATGTCTGACCTTACAAAATGAAAATAACAAGGTCACGGTCACATCCTAGTTTTATTACAACTGACCTGCAGGCAAAAGGATAGTCTATTACATAAACGCTCTGATCCATGTATAATATCTTAAATAGAGGAGGAAGTCCAACCAGGATACCAGATAAAGTACTCTGAAGCTCTCTGAAGCGGTTATGTTCCTGAGCTCCATTTTACAGACAATAAGGCAACATCCCTGCACATCAGCTTTTTGATAATTTTTTATACATTTTTTTCTATGGTACAAGAAAAAAAAATAACCAGAGTTCACAATGTACAGTTCTTACACTATTTTCACAGCTTCTGAACACTATACACTTTTTTTTTTTTTTTTAATAAAGATACATCTTAATAAATGGTACACCCTTAATAGTTCATAGTAATTTTTTTTAATACACCAGACCTGTCCTGTACAGCCATCCATGCCACAGCACATTCCAAACCTGATTCTGGCACCTGCAGCTCAAAGCTTCACGTTTCCATTTCCCATCCATCGAAAGCAAGCCAGTCATGTTGCTGAAAATGAGCATGGGGTGGGGTCAGCAGCAGAGAACAGACCCCGGCCATGCTGAATGAGCATAAAAAGACAGCTGCTTGCTTTGGAGAGAAAGAGATCTTCTGGGAGAGGTCATCTCAGTGAACATTGAGGAGATGTCGTGAAATAGCCGTTAATGGCTGAAAGATTGGGACAGAAGCAGAGCACCTCGGAATGTGTCTGTCTTGACTCAATCTACATCTCTGTACTCCCCTGGCCAGCACCTTGTGAAAAACTCAGTCATGCCTGAGATCCCCATTAGAGGTGGCTGAAGGCCAGTGAGATGTACCACAGCTGTGGCAACCTGCCAAGCCTGAGGAAAACTGAGTTTTGTGAGACTAGAGGGCTGGGGGGAGAATTACTGCTTTAGATATGCTACGTATCTATCCTTTTCAACTAATAACTTTGTGTGATTAATCAGAACTATTGGGAATGACTAGTAACTTCATAAAATTTTGATTTTTCTGTTTTGGGTAGACATTAGTGGCCATCCCACTCGGTGCACAACCCTGCAGGAACACAGTCCAGGAAGGGCCTAGGTACCACAGCTCCCTGCCTAGCAGGGTGGCAGCTGAGGGCCCTCTGTGTCCTGAGGGCTCACATCGGCACCAGCTTGCAGTGCCAGAAGGACTGGCTCCAACAGCCAAGCGGGAGATGCACAGTGCTGCAAGCCTTAGGCAGTGGTGTCCCTTCAGTGGCTGAAGAAATACCAGGTGTCCAAGTACGGCCTTGGCACTCTCCTTTCCCAGCTGAGGAGCTGGGCAGGGATGTGCTGATCCCCACTGCTCTCGTAGCAGCCCAGTTTGTACTTGGAATTAGTTTGAACTGGGAAGCCCCTTCCAGGGAAATCTTGCCAGTACCACTCCCTGCGTGTTTACTCCCACTGCATCTCTAAACCTCCTCATCCTGGGTGTGGTTTTGCCACAGAGCTGTGAGTGGGTTGCTCTCATTTTGACAAAGTGCCTATATTAGTCAATTCAAATGGAAATCACAGACCACACAGGTTCCAATTTATCCCTGGTATGCTACAAAATGTCTGAAAACTGCAATGTTGTGGGGGAAATAAAAAGTTTTCAGAAAAAAAATAATCTCTGAAAAAGACATCAAATGAAAAACAAAAAGAGAGAGAGAGAGAGAGACTGATCTGCTGTGTGCTCAGCAGTCAGCCAGAAGGTCACACCTTGCCTGGCCTGGCAGGGTCAGCTAAAACCCCAGGTGTTAGTTGCTCCTTCATCTCCACTACCTTGCACTAACCAAGTCTTAGCAAGGCTCAATAACAAGAGCTATTGAGAGTAACAAAAAAGGTTACATATGCGCAGAAGAAAGTGAACAAGATCTCCAACCAGCTAAGCAAAACATCACATTTGCAGTGGTGTGACGGGCACAGAGCCCAGTGTGGCAGGAGAGCATCCCCACCATCCTGCTTGCAGTGGTGAGAAGGAACCACAAAAGTTTGATTTTGTTAGGGACAACAGGCTGGAAAGTGGCAGTGCTGCTGGGCTGGGCTTAGGGTCAGTGAAAAGGTGCTAGCATCAGGATTGGGGACAGTGAAGAGCATGAGAAACAGGCTAGAAATCGCATTCATTTGTGGCTCACTAAAACAGCTGCAGACTTTGTGAACGGCACTTGTTGAAATCAAAGCAAAGCTAGCTGGTTGTGAGTACTGTGCAGCTATAAATCAGGTCACAAGCAGGTTATAATTCAATTGAGTAGTTTAATAATTCTTTAGGTCTTATCTTACCAGGTAACAATTTACAGGACACCTAGTTAAGAGTGAAGAGTGGCTGGCTTGGTAAAAGGAAAAAGAATACATTATGTCCCATCTCTGAATAGTTTAATGTTAGCCTCTTTCAATGCAACATATTTTTGGTAAAGACATATTCACTATATTTAACATGATCTCTCTTTAATAGGAAGGTCATCTGAGCACACTGTCCCCAGAAAGTACACAGCAACTGTAAAGCAACAGAATTTCATAGCAGTAAATCTATTGCACTTGGTGAAGAATAAAATTCTCCTTTGCCTTTCTAGCTCCAGAAGGCAAAGTATCTCATTGGCTAAGCAAGTTCTTCTCCCTCCAGGCAAAGTCTCTTAATGTTCAGACAGACAACGCCTAACTTTTGTTTGTTTGCTTTTTATTATTACTTGAAACAACAATTGGAAGAGTTTGAGAGAAAAATCTTTCCAGTAGCTGCTGAGAAGTCTCCAAGTTTTGAGTCTAGAAATGAATTTTAGGTGCTATCCAATCACGGTCAACAAATAAATGTACTTATTTCCACATTTCATGAATATGTCCACAAAAGAGCAGATGAGGTCTCTCTTTGACCAACACTAACACTGTGTGATCAGGTATTACAGGGATGCACTTATATGTGACAACATTATACAGACAGGATGGAAATAACACCAATATTATTGCACATGGTGTCTGGGCGAGCATTAAAAACACTGCAATATGTGATGAAAATTCTTTACAGCTTGTTTTCTCTCAGCCCTTTTTCTAGAGTTTGATGTAGCAGCAATATCAATCGACATACATTGGAGAGCTGGGAGTTGCTGGCATTTGATCCAGGATTTTGCAAACATAGCATGCAACATCCACTGTGCGTTCCTCATACATCAGAATGAAGGGATGTTTCTGGAATCAGATAGAGAAACAACAAGGTTATACTTGCATTTCTGACACAGCTTGGCTACCCTGGATAAAAGCTTAGCATACGGATTTGCCTTACGAGAGACTGCAGGGCTTGGTGGTGACTGTAGGACATCAGGACATAGCCTGGTCCATGGCTTTTTGCATATGAAGAATCCCTCTTAAATGTGCAGTCCAGAGGTGGGACAGGACTCCATGGCACACACAGTGAAATATTTTCATGAAAGATTTCATCAGCAGCATTTTCAGCAATGTTAGGGAGACATGATTTGGGTTCAAACAGGAGATCAGTACCCAAAACCAGTTCTTCTGAACAGTCAGCCCAGCAAACTGTACTGGCTAAACCCAACTGACAACAGCTGGAACATAACAACATGGTGACTCTTTGGGCCAGGACACCAGGCAAACTTCATTCATATCATGAAAATACCATCAGGGACCCAGGACACCGTTTCCCATATCCCCTGAAGGGACACCCAGAGCTCCTTGAAGGTACATGGTTGCCAAGTGTGACTTATCCAGTCCAAAAGCCCCATCAACTTTCCTGCTTCAGAGCACCTCATCACAGACAGGCTCTGCTGGTGTCTTATTCCAGAGCTGTACTCTATCAGGACTCACTTTTACCAGAGCACTCCCAGCCTCATGGTATGGCTTGTACATTGAAGACATTTACATGTGGCAGTGTATGTCAGCAATTTGACAGGGCTCCTAAGTGCAGGTGCCAGGATCCCTAGAAAAGGCAGAATTTATGGGGCACACCCAACATGCTGTTTCCCAAGCCTGAATACTTCAGAGCTAGCTAAGTCTGGTTAGCTGATCCACTGCAACATGGCATTTCTCCTTACACTGATCTCCTAGAACAGGGGTACAGACAGCAATGATCTTGGCCATCATCACAAGCTGCACAAGCCAGACACAGTGGCATGGAGGTGCTGCTTTCCCTCAGGCTGCAGAGCTGAACACTGCCTTCATCACCTGAGAAGACATGGAGCAACCCCAAATGTGTGACCAAGCTCTACTGTGTGATCAGTACAACCATGACAGCTGGCATAGGCAGCCATGCTTTGCACTCACCAGAAGCTCTTTATACTTTGGCCTTTTGGACTCGTCCTTCGTAAGGCTAAAGAAAACAGAAAGAGAATTAGGAAAAAGTGGGACTAGTGAAACATTTACAGACATTACTTGCAAATTTTTACAGCACAAAATACTGAATTCCACTGTCATGGTGGGACTCGAGTACTCCAAACTATTCAAGTCCAGGAAACTGATTCCTGCAAAACCCTTCCTTTTCATGTTGTGATGCATCACTGGGTGAAGCTACTGGCACAAGTACAGACCCCATAGCCATCAACAAATCCCACTGGGGACAGGCCTATGACAGCTGCAAGCTAAACTCCACCATGACTGTCAAGGTCCTACCCATATGGAAATGGGTTTGACCAGCACAACCAGAAGTTTTGGGCAGCAGCAATCAGTAGGTAGCCCTGGCCTGTACTCCAGCCAAGAGGACAGCATGGCAAGTGTGTTGGGTCTGTCTGAGCTGGAGTCACCTTTTCCCTGCAGCAGCCCGCACAGTGCTGTGCTCTGCACTCGTAGCTGGAACAGCACTGATATCACTCCAGTGTTGTGTCTATTGCTGCGTAGTGCTGGCACAGCATCAGGACTCCTAAGCCCCCAAGAGCCAGCAGGCTGGGGGTGGGCAAGTGATGGGGAGGGGACATTGCCGGGGCAGCTGACCTAAACCAACCAAAGGGATATTCCATAACACCTGATGTCACACTCAGCAATAAAAGGGGGGGCTCTCGTGGGGGAGGGGGCTGTTCCTCCTGAACAACCACTACGCGTTTGAGGCCCTGCTTCCCAGGACGTGGCCGAACACCGCTCGCTGATGGGAAGTAGAGAGTAATTTTTTTCTCTCTCTCTGTGCTTCCGCGCGGACTGATTGTTTCTTTTGTATCTGTTTCTCCTTCCCATTCCCTTTCCCTTTAATTAAACCTTTCTCATCTCAAACCTCGAGTTCTCTGTGTTGTATTTTCTCCCCCTCCTTCTGAGGAGAGGGGGAGTGAGAGAGCGGTTGTGGTGGAGCTTGGCTGCCCACCTGAGTAAAACCACCACAGCAAGGAGCAGAGGAGAGCCAGCACCATCTGCCAAGGCACACCACCATCCCCTTGGCACATATGTGGGCTGGGGCAGGGGATGTACCATGCATCAGGCAATCAGATTACTCTGCAGGGGCAAAAGAGAGCTTCAAAGGCCCTCGCAGATCATCCCAAGCACTGGTGGCATGTCCCTCGCTGAGTGGGCCACAGCCCCAGGAGAGGTGTTGTGGCTCAGCACCACTACAGCTGACAAGTCCTTCTGGCCAAGGCAATAGAGAGCCTGCCATGCTGTACTCAGTCTTCATGCTGTCCTCTGCCTCCAGTGTTTCCGTCAGTCTTGCTGTGGAGAGTGGTGGCTTCTGGTGGCCACCTTCTCCCCATACCATAGGGATGACCCACTGGCTGCCTGGCCCCAGTGCAGCACAGGGGCATGGCCGGGCTATGGTGGGGACAGCAGGTGGCAGCAAAAGCCACCAAAGCCCCTGCAGCAGCAGGGACATGGCAGGGGGACAGGAGAGGCCTGGGGGCAGGCATTGCCTAGGTGCCCTGGGGTGGACATGGCGTCTCCAAGGGCACAACCCCAAGGCCCAACCAAGTTTCTGCACTGGGCAGCAGGAATGCCTCTTCCATCGCTCCCTCCAGCCTGCCTCCACTGCCTCGGAGGGCCTGTGGGACCTGCTCGGAGGGAGCCGTGGGATCTGAAGGAAGTGGGTCAGCCCCATGCAGGGTGTCAGGCCGTGCTGCTGCTTGGCCCCTACAAGGAGACACCTGGTGACACCTGGCACCAGCAGCCTCTGCCCTGAAGGTAAGAGCTGCAGCCACCCCAAAGACAAAGGGGGGGATGTAGTGTTGCACCCAAATGGGGGAGGGGAGGGGTAAATACAATTCCTGACAGCTGTATTTCCATTCATGGAGGCTGTGGTAGGACCTTTTTTAAAATTCAGGAGCTACTCCAATATGACCTCAAATTATTCAGAGAAGCAGTGGGTAATTATGCTGCACTCACACACTTGGCTCTTCTCTGTCCTCTGACTGGCCTGCGGAACTGCACAGAGGTGGAAGGTAAGAAATCCCGTGGCTGCTGCACAAACACCCTCACTTCAAGCTTTTCCTACCCAAATTCAATTCATCTTCTGACTTTTGTGAGTCTGAGGATTCAAATATGCTCCTTACTACGCTTTTAAGTGCAACTTGTCAGAGCTTCAGCTCACTGTCCAGGTTTTGTTCTGAAATTTCCATGCATTCTTTCATAAAGCATAAAAATTTTCATAAATCTTTTTTTTTTTTTTTTTTTCCTAACTCAATGCAAAGCTGCAGATCTGGAATAGCCATTTGCAACACCAGGTGCCGTACAGCTCTTCTGTTGGAACATCTGATATCCTTCCCTGTCACGCTGGACCTCAGGAGCTTGCAACTCTTCCTGCAAGTACTGTTAGCTCTGCAGCTGCCAGCATGAAACTCTGAAAAGCCAGACACGGAGCTTGGATACTTTGCAAACTCTGAAGCAGACTTCAGATAGGCATGTAAAGAACACAGGGAGGTGAGCTGATGGAGAAAACTGTTCTACCCAGGCATTCAAAGCACTGTTGGGATCCAAAACGACTTGAAAAAAAAATCCCAGAAACTTTCTAACATTTATCAAAAGTAACATTTTCTCACAGATCTATCACAGCCAGCATCCAGCAACACTGCACAACTCTTCCATCATCTTTCCTGACACTTAAATACACAAAAATAGAAAACTACTAGATTCAAATTTGTGGGAAAATGCCCAGGAGATTTGTGTTGTCACCTAAAAGCACAGTCTTTAGGAGACTTACCTGCCTGCTGAGTAACACCAAAGATTATTGTTTATGGTTTGTTTATGGTTTATGGTTAACTAAATGTTATTAAGAGAACATATTTATCACATTGTTGTTATGAACACATAAGTATTCCAGGTAGAAGTCAGATTACTTACAAAATCATATTAAACAAAAAACAGAATTAAACTGAAAACTGTCCCATGCTCTATGCATTGCAGTTGTCCCAGAACAGAATGCTTTAGGAGGGGTAAATGGGCAGGAAATATGAATTGACCCAATTGGACATGTTGGCCAAATGCACTGCTGCTTACCAGAGATGCCATGCAGGTTCCACTATTGGGTGATCTGTAGCCAAACACAACAGCACATACAAGCAGAAGAGCAAGCTCCTGTTTTTGAACACACTGTTATGATATTGCACCCCTATGGATATGTATGTGGGGCAAAAAAAACCACACTGCTGCTTGTATTGTACATGGGGAAAGCAACTCTGACTTTCTAATCAAATACCACATACTTTATGACTAAAAAATGAAAACTTCTTTGGAGCAGCAAACCATTTTGATGCTTCATTTCCTGCAGACCAAAGATAATAAAAAGGTCTTCCTACAGCCACCTGGAAACTAGAACCTGGGCTCCAATAAAATTCCTAATTCTGAACAAGAATAAAATCCGAACACAAAAACCTTTTCCATTTTGAATCTGAACCTTTCATTTCTCTAGTGGGTTGAAAATCCTGAAACAAAACCTTTTGTAAGTTAAGAGTTGTTTTACGTTGAATCTTCTTGTGTTGCAGAGCTTTGAGATGGGCACCCCTAGCCTCAGGATGTTCAGCGCCTGGATCAGCCCAGAACAGAAGGTCCCAGCAGAAGAGCCACACAGGTCACATTGATCAATCTTCTGTACGCTTCATTATTAAATCAACAAAATTATTTTGATGACCTTTTACATTTTGATGGAAAAGTACTTGGAAAATACACAAATCAGCCCTTAACTTCAGCAGGACCATGCTCTTCAGAGGGAGAGCATGAACATACTCCATGGCAGGCAGATGGAGTGCTCCAGGTTTCTCCTGTGCAATCTCTCTATACACCCTATCCTCCAATCCAGGGACTGACTGAACTGCAGAGACCCTGCCATAAAAGCCTTTTGAGCCTTGACCTTGTCATATGACTGACAAGGAAAAAGAAGCCAACAGCCAAGCAAGCCACATGCTACAGGTTCTGACAGCCACTCTGCTGAGTAGAGCCTTGTCCTCCCAGGCAGGAAGGCTCCTGGCCTTGCTATGCAGAAGGTAGGAAAAGTACAGATCCTCAGCTCAACCACAAGACAATACTGCTAGGTTTCTCAGTAGCTTCTTCCTGAAGAATGTGAAACAAAAAGGAGGTCTGTCCAAGGGCTGTGTCATAGCTAACTAATGAACAGGCTGCACAGGCCAGGCCCTTTTTTCCAGTCACGCAAACCTCCCACCAAGGGTCTTATCATGGGTTTCCTGAACACAGACTCTCATAGGTTTTTTTCTTATTCTTTCCCTGAAGAGCAACATCCAATAGTCTGCCATTCAGACCCTACTCAGACTCACAAACCTCCCATCACCTTCCAAAGAAGTGAAATGTGAACAGTCCTCACCCTCACGTTGCTGCAGGAATGTGAATCTAATCTAAAAAGTGCTTGGCATGCTACATGCTAAATACCTAGCAACGACAAAACAAGCGAACTCCAAGCGCTTCAGGCAGCGAACACTTACCACAAGTTGACGAAGTTGATGAAACTTGGGGAGAATTCCCTTTCCTCTGAGTTACTCAGCTGTGGTGGGTCTCCTTTTACTACTTGTGTCAACTGGTCAAACACACTGTTCCACTTGGGGTAGGGGAATCGCCCTGTGGCAAGCTCATACTGCAAAAAGACAGAAACAGCACAGGATAGGTTACACAGAGGTAAGTTCAGGTAGTGGAAGAAAATCTCCACAAGGACCCTGAAAACCCAAAGTTAGACTAAGACGATATTCTTCATGCCATCTGCTACAGGAAGTTCAGCGAGAAAAGGGCAGGGAACATTACACTCAACACTAGTTTTGCTAACTACTTTAGGAGTGTCTCCAGATTTAATTCAGGTATGCCAAACTCATGCCTCTTCCACTGTCTATAAAATGAACCAATGCTCTTATTAAGATTTTTAAAGTAGTAAACTAAAATCCTCCAGTTCCTTCCCAAGCTTCTTAACAACCACTACAGAAAATGGATACTAAGAAATCAAGCATTTTAAAATGGCAGCAGGGAAGACAGCCCTTTCATAGAAACTACTGACTCACTGCTTCGGCTTTCTCTTCTGCTTCACCACATTGAGAAGAGAAGATCATTTCAAATTATCAGTGTGTATATCCAGCAGCTTTGTGGTTGGCCAGAGAGGAATAAGCAACTGGGATCCAGGATTAACTGAAATTTTCTGCACAGACGAATAATACCAGACACCAGGGCTGTAAGAGGCTTATTTACATAGGTTAGATGCTCAGTACTCACCATCCCTTCTCATACAAGATTTTGAAGACAAAATTAATTTACAATCCAACACCTCTTCCTCACTCACATCTGTCTCTGCAAAACATAGCTGCAGCTAAATGTATCCTCAGGGGTTCAGGACAGCCATCTGCCTTGAACGGATTTGTATTCTTTCTGAGCCAGGAGGATCCCACTTCAATCACAAAATACAAATGCTTCACTGCAGCATAGACGGGCTTTGCTTCAAGCATGTTTGACACCAACTAACTCCATCACATCACAAAACACACTAAGGCTACCCAACAGGAAACTACCATGCATCAGAGGGCTTAAACCCCGCTCACTTACCAATGTAATTCCCAAGCTCCAGACATCTGAGCGGACATCGTAACCTTGCCTAGAGGCACTGGGATCTATCCTTTCCGGCTGAAACAGAAAGAATTACCAGTCAAACACTGTGCCACATAGGAAGGAATGAGAAGCATCTGCAAACTTGGAAAAAATTCTAAGTTTGTCCAACTACACAGAGTTTGACACAAGTATAGAAGCAAACTTTTTATCACTTTCAACCCCAGCAGAGAAACATCTTCTGGAATTAAACACGGATTTTATGGAGATACAGTGTAAAAGTTTGTCTCAAACTGCAATTCAGCACAGTCAAATTCTTTTTAGTTTTCTTTCTTTTCTGCACATGGCTTGAATAATTGTTACTATTTGTTTAGTGTTGTTTAACCTCAGTATCCCTTTAAAATGTAAAGTCTTGCTTTCTCTGTTTTACAGCAAAGTCATCCCTAGGGAATCATAGTAACTGGAAAAAACATCTTCTCATCCATGAGCCCAGGGAACTGAGATTTAAAACAATGCATTTTAAGAACAGTTCTTCTTTATGAGTTTTTGGGTATCCCTTGAAGGCAATTAAGATATCTTTACCAAGTCTTCAGACATCCAAAAAGTCTTCCCATAGAAAATGATATCAAATTAGACATGGGTGTGCTAAGTCACCCAGGAGTGACTTATCCAGAGAGCAGAACCAGCATTTTATGCTTTGCTTGTCATCTTTGTAAGTCAATTCTCCCTTATTTTATTAAAAATGCCAAAAAAAAAAAAAAAAGACATGATCTCTTTCAGTTTTAACTGTAACAATGATAAAGAGACCTGAATCACAATAAAATAATAAATTATCAGCTGAATGAAATACTATGAAAGCCCTGGTTGCTTTGCGAGCTACTTTTTAATGCATTTTCGCAGCAGATGCATGCTGAAGAGTGCTATGAAATCCACAAAATCCCTTAGTGCACCCTCAACCTTCCAGTGGATCACTGCATGTGTGAGAAGACTACCACAACCCCACAATACCTTCCGACCCCCAACCCCACAGGGTATTTCTGTTTGCTCTATCATGCTGCCAGCTCTCCTCTTTGCAGCCCACATTACACACAGCTGCCCCAGCTTTGACTGCCTCCAAACCTTTCCCATTTCCTCAGTTACAAGGATCTTCTCCAGCAGCAAAACATGGCTATACCACCACCCACACATACCCACACAGAGAAAGGAGAGCTAACTTCCAGCAAGCTAGAGTGGCTCTACATGTGTTTGTGCCTACAACCTGTCTGTTTCTACTGTGACTGGGTATAGAGTACCTTCCCAATGCCACTGATGTGCTATTTCATCCTTACCTCCAGTTGCAATATCCACCTTGAAATAGGCTGGCTTTGGCAATGCTCTAAACATGATGTCTTTCCCACCCTCCCAGGTCTCTAGTTTCCTTTCCTTTCTTATCCTTTAGTTATGTTTCTGTTTGTCTTAACCTCATTTATTAGGTCTTCCCATTCATGAGGAAATGTGGGATGGACTTTTCAGTAATCCTGGTGGGAGGGGATGCAAATTAATAAAATTGGTCAAATGAAGTTCTCTTAAACCTACCATCAGTCCTTCATATGTTCACCTTCAAGTTCAGTCAAAGTCAATCCTATTTATATTGCAAGTAAATCCATACACCTAACTGCTCACAACCCAGCATTCTACCTTTGCTGGTTGAGTGCAGTCGTTTCATATTGGTTCCACCACATCAACAGACTACTAAATCAGCTGATACAGAATTAATAGAATCAATTAATTATAAGCATCCCTTTCTTTTACAAATGGGGAACAGAAATGAAATGAAAATTTATCCAACATTTTGAAGCCAAGACAGTGGGGAATGGATTTATTTGAAAACAGAAGGGGCAAGGATTTGAATGGAAAATGTGTTCCCAGCCCCTGCCGGGGAAGGGTTGACAAGCAGTGAACATTCAGGGTTTGGATGCTCTTGGATATTTCAGGAAGCTACTGGACATATCAGATAGAAGTAAAACATCTGAAGGAAGAGCCAGGGAGGGTTTAGAGCATTGGCTCAGACTCAGGCTTAAGGACAAGAGGAACTCAGATTTCTACTCAGCTCAAAAGTAGTATGTGAAAGTAATGTCATCTAATGGATCTAACCAATTCAGTGTTCTCTGTGATTTATTTCTGTCAGCACTCCAAAACATTCACGAGAAACACAGCAAATGGAAAGTGCTAGGAGGAAGGTAGACGGAAGAATGCAGCATCAACAACAGGCCAGCATTAGATGTGGCATGGCAGAAACCTTCTGGAAGGAGCTTCTGGTGACTCTCTCATAAATCACTCCCACGGATGATGCTGTGTCTATCCTTCCCTGTCTCTGTCCTGGTTTCAGTTAGGACAGAGTTAATTTTCTTCCTAGTAGCTGGTAGAATGCTATGTTTTGGATTAGGATGAGAAGAGTGCTTGATAACATGCTGATGTTTTAATTGTTGCAGAGCAGTGCTTATACCAAGCCAAGGACATCTCAGCTTCTCGCTCTGTCCTGCCAACGGGCAGGCTGGGGGTGCAGCAAGAGCTGGGAGGGGACAGACCCAGGACAGCTGACCCAAACTGGCCAAAGGGGTATTCCATACCATCTGATGTCATGCTAAACAATATATAGGGGTGGCTAGCCGGGGTGTGGGGGCTGGCTGCTCAGGATTAGGCTGGGCATCGGTCAGCGGGTGGTGAGCAATTGCATTGTGCATCACTTGTTTTGTATACATTATTATTACTGGTACTATTATCATCATTATTGTTATTATTATTGTTGTTGTTATTATTTTTTCTGTCTTAATAAACTGTCTATCTCAACTCACAGGCTTCACTTTCCCATTTCTCTCCCCCATCCCAGAGAGAGAGGGGGGAGGGTGAGCGAACGGCTGTGTGGTGTTTAGCTGCCGGCTGGGTTAAACCACAACAGTCTCAATGTAGGCAGTCAACATGATGGACCTGCAACACCCCCAACATCTTTGTCTGCTGACAGCCTGCTCTCCAGCATGACTGCTCTCAGGGAACACAAAAGAACAGCCTGACTCCATCAGCTATGAGAAATCATGTCCCAGCCCAACCACATGCCTGTTGCCATACTGCTGTGTCTGCAGCCCCATGACACTAGTCCTGCTTTACCTCAGCACAAAGCTCTCCTTGCATCCATTCCCTCCTAACAGATCGTGGTGGCACGCTTCTCCAGCCTTCTGGGTTCTTGCAGCAGGCAGGAAGACAGGCTGTGAAGCAGCTAAAACTGTCCCTTCCCTGTTCTTCAGACACGGTATCAGTGCTAGCTGCACTGCAGGCTACTACGGACCACTGCTCCACAGTGAGGCAGCTCTTCAGGGGCATGGCAGCTAGCTATGCCAGGCCATATGCATTTTGGCAACAGAAGATGGATTCCCCAGCAGGCACATGCATTCACACCATGCACATCAGAGCCATTTCATGTGAACCTTGTGATAAGAGACTGCTTCTTAAGTGTCAAACACACCTCCATGGTGCCCTAATACTCAACCCATATGATAGATGTTGCCATGCAGGAATGGCAGTGGGACCAGCTGCTGCAGGGCCACATAAAATGATGTTGGCCAGTGATGGGACTCCTATACCACTGATGAATAGAGAATGTGGTGCAGCAGCATGTGGGAGACCAAGAGCGATTCGCAAATTGAATTAACAATTCACAGTTTGTGTAGCACAAAGAATTATAGGACTGCATGGAGAGCAGATATTCTGGGTTGGGGGTCAAGTAGCAAAAGGGTGTGCATTACAGGGACTGGTCAGATAGGTGGCACTTGTGACAGTCTTTCATCAGGCTGGACACGTTTGGGACACTGCAGGGCACCTCTTGGCTGTGTAGAGGACAGCTTTGAGTCTGAAGCACCCACACAGAGGCAGCCTGTTACCATGACCAAGCAGAGTACAAATGGAGGGAGCAACAGGGACTTGGCCCTAGAAAGCAGTGGCACTGTTAAAGGGAAAGCAGGATGGACTAGAAAAAATCCTGTCTAAATACAGAGCAAAAAGAATCCTGGGAATTTTCCATGTAGACAACATGGGAGCAATTAACACCAAAAAAGGGAGAGTGAGTATGTCACACTCCAGGGACCCAGAACAAGAACTGCAGACAAATCCAGCTCTTCATGGATATCCTTCTAACATCAAGTGCAAGTGAGGAAAGGAAATGGCTGAGTTGACATCCAGTCAACCACTGGATGTGCTGATGGTATGAAGAAGCAGGGCATGAACGCATCAAACAAGGGCACAGACCGACATAGATTTTCCCTTCATTTCAGTGTCTGCATAAGCATCAACAACTAGACTGAAGAGCAGAAGTGGGAAGCAGTGATCCTCCCCTCACTTCCAAGTCCCCAGCTAAGCAAATACATGTAATGTGGGGTTTGACAAGAATAAATGCACATACAACTCGCCAAAGTCTTCAGCTGTTCCATGTCGCTGATGAGCAAAGTATTATGTCTACGAAAACACAATTCTTGAAGCTCAGAACTAGATTTTCACTGGTTATATAACCAAGGAATTTTACCCGCAATGCAATGCCACTTCAAAACCGCCTGCACGTTACTGAACTGAATGGAACATACTCTTACTTGCTTCTTAAGCCAACGTGCCCCTGAAGCAAAGAAAATAAAAAGTTACAAGGAGTGAATAACTACCAGAAGGAGGTCAAATTTTACAGTACACGAAGTAGAAGAAAATCTAGAGGATATAAATGTTCCCTCCCCTTCAACCACAGAAATAGATGGATGCAAGCTGGAAGCTGCCAGCCTCCATTGGAAATGATCAAATGATCTCCTCACAAACATAGAGCACACGATGGAAAAAAAAAAAAAAAAAAAAAAAAGGAAATGAAGTCCAGGGACTTCCCCTGGCTTTGGTTGATGATGGGAGCAAGGTAAAGCACTGCACATCTGGAAACAGGATTGTGCTGGCTGCAGCTTCAGAGTTATCTGTGCTAAATTCAGCTGCAAATCATACAGTGAGTTACAACCCAGGCCAATGAGAGTTAAAAGACCTCCAGTGCTCTGAAAGGGACTGGATGTAAGTCTTGC